CCTGTTCCTGGCTCTCTCGACTTTTGCAGAAACCCACAATCAGACCAACTGATCTTTGTGTTTCTCCCATTTCTCTCTTCCCTCTAGATTTCCTGGACTTTGAGACTCCCTTGAAAAGTAAGTGAACTGTACGTGTGCCAAACCAAGCCATCATATGAAATCAAAAATATGGTAAAAGAAGCTTTTCTGCCCTCAAAGATGGACCTAAAGTGTTCTGCTGCCTCCTTTCCCCATTCTCCCACCCTGGTCCCACTGGCAGATGATGCCTGGAGGGGTCCCAACCGGGTCAGAGGTGTTGGGGGGGGGGAAGAGAAGAAGCCCTGTTTCCCCTCAAATCTGCTGCAATGAGCCTGACTCTCTCTCCACCTCCAGCACAGATGACGCTGGATCCGGAGACGGCCCACGCCAGGCTTTATCTCTCGGAAGACCGCAAGCTTGTTTGGTGGGAAGACCGTGAGCAGGACCTGCCCTGCAACCCGAGGAGGTTCAAAGTCTATCCCTGTGTTCTGGGCTCGGGGGGCTTCATATCGGGGTGGCACTGCTGGGACGTGGAGGTCCACAGAGATGGCTTTTGGACCATTGGGGTGGCCAAGGAGTCGGTTCCAAGGGACCATTCTTTAGTCCCAAATCCCAATGAGGGGATATGGGCTGTGTATCATAATCATTATCCTAATATGTACAAGGCTCTGACCTCTCCTGCTGAAACCCGCCTGTTTCTACGCAGTGTCCCCAAGCAGATACGAATCTGCTTGGACTATGAGGAAGGAAGGGTGGTGTTTTTTGATGCCGAGAGCAAAGAACGGATCTTTGCTTTTCCACCAGCATCTTTCCAAGGGGAGAGAATCTTCCCGTGGTTCGTGGTGTTCAAGGATGCTCAACTCAAACTTCTTCCCTAAGGCACAGGACATAAAAAACCCAACCCCCAAAGCCCTCAAGTTACCCTTGGGAAAGAAACCAGGGGCTGGGTTTTATCCCAATCCCACCAAAGGGACAGGAAAGGGGAGAGGTGTTCAGCTTCCTCTCCTTCTGTGCAAAATGGAAGCATTTCTGTGCCTTCAACTCTATTTTGATCTTTCAATCGCTGTTTAATCACTAATGGCTGTTACAGGGTGGCTGCAAATTTGCCCTGATGGGGACTTAAAATTAAAACTGTAATTCTAAACCATTTATGCCTTGTGTGTGGGCTTTGTATCTTGTGATTTTTATTTTCCGGTGAGGTTTTCTTTGGAAGTGGCTAAAGAGAACTGGGGGAAGGAAAAGCCAGCCCAATGCCTCTCCAAAACCCACTGCACAGGGAGATGAGACCCAGGGGTTCAGATGAAAGTCCATCAAGTCCTCCTCTTGTCCCCAGACATCCCTGCCTAGGAAAGCAGATCAGAGCAGGGTGAGGATGCCTATGGCCCCAGGAGCCCTCTTTTCCCAGCCTCAATGGGTAATTAACCAATTAACAGGGTGTTAATGAGGGACACTGGGGGGATCTTATACGTGGCTCTTTCTTGTCTGTAACCCCACTGGCCCCTTGCAGCCCATCCGAGTCTTTAGTTTGGTGCCTTCACCCTCTTTGCCTCCCTGGGAAGCCCCAAACTGGTCCCCATACCCAGATATTGGCCTCACCTGTGCTGCTGGAGGGGAGCAACCCCATGTGGGGTTGATATCAAAGGGTGGTTTGGGTTGGAAGAGACCTTACAGACCATCCAGTCCCACCCCCTTGTCACAGGCAGGGACACCTCCCACCAGACCAGGTTGCTCCAAGCCCTGTTCAACCTGGCCTTGAACATCTCCAGGGATGGTGCATCTGCAGGTTCTCTGGGCAACCTCTTGCAGTGTCTCACCCCCCTGGAAGTGGAGAATCCCCTAGAAGTTGGAGAAGCCCCTGCAAGTTGGGAAGGTGGAAAAGCCCCCAATATTGGGAAGGTCGACAAGCTCCTGGAAGTTGAAGCCCCAGGAGGTGGAGAAGCCCCTGAAGATGGTCCCATTGCTGCTCTCTAACAGGTTCCCTGGTGCTCAGGGTGAGGCAGAATTGAGGGAGAAGGTGGCTCTGGGGAGAGATCACGTCCCCACCACCTTCTCCATTCAGCTGGAGGAAGCCACTATCCACCAGTGAGGAGGTCCAGAGCAAGCATGTCCTCCACAGGGACCTTGGGACCACAGATGTGCCCAGAAACGTCTCAACTGACCCAACCTGATGCTCAGGGAGGAATAAACTCACCCGGCAGCTTTTCTAAGCTGGGTTTTTCCATGGCTTGCTCAGCAAGGAAAGGATTTCAAAAGCCTTCTCCTTCCAGGAATGAAGCCAGGACTTGCCAGGAACTGAGAGAGAAGTTTCCCCCAGTGGAAAAGAGTCTCCAGGAACTCTCTCAGAAACATATCACCCTGAAGGAAGCCCTGAGGAAAGTCAAAGGTGGGCAGGTAAGAGGGGGAAAATCTCACACAGGCTTCTTCTGCAGCTGGAGAGGAGTGGACACTGGCCAATCACCAGCAGAAAGCCCCAGCTGAGGAACGTTAAGGATGAGTCACTCAATACTCCTCCTGGCAGGGGCTGTGGGGGTGGCCAGAGACTGTGTGTGGAGAAAGGGTTGGATTAACCTCCACCCATCCCAAGGGATTTGGGCCCTTGGCATCTGTGGGGACAGGCTTCAAGCTTTCACCCCCTTCCAAACAGTTCAGCCTCGGAAGGGGAGGCCGAGGACCATCTGGTTCTTCCTGGGTGATGAAAAGGGACTCATGGTTTTCTTCCATCCCCATAACGAGACACCTTGGCTTTTGCTTTTCCTCTGATTTCTTTCAACTGAGAGAAAATCCTGCCTTTCTTCTAGGTTTGGGAGTCCAGATTCCAGCTGGCTCCCTGGAGCGAGATGGACATGGCACACTCTGGGCAAGCCTTTGGTCTGATGCAGGAAACCACACTGTATTTCGGGACTCAGTGGCTGGTTACCAAGAAAGCAGATCAAACAAGTCCCGGTGTCCACCACCAATCTCATTGTCGTGGTGTTTCCAAGAGCGGGAGATTGAGAAAGGGTCACCTTGGGTGGATTTTTTAATATTTGGGTGCCCTCCACGATTCCTCTGGGGAATCTTACCCTGGGAGGAGCAGGAGAATGAAGCTCAGGATTTGGGCAACAGCCCCTGGGGACACCACTTTCAAAGCTTTCACCCCTGTGTTGACTCTTGACAGAGACCAATGGTGCTCCTGTGTGGCTGGAGAAGCTGGCTCTGGTTCTGTGTTCTCTTTTCTAGTTTTTTTGGTGGAATCTGGGAAAACGGTACTGTGCAACCACCAGCCTGGGAAATCATGGTAAAGCTCAAGGTAAAGCTCAAAGGACATAACGAAGCCCTTTGTTGTTCTATCTCAGCTGCGAGACTGAAAAATCCCAGTGCCTCCAGGACAGGGTGGAAATAGGATGGGTGTCTCCAGTTCCCGTCCTCCTCATCTGTCCAACTGCTGCTTCCCAGAGCAATATAAGTTAATGTATTGCCTGTAGCTGTGCTGGGAAGGGGCAGGGTCTCAGAGTAACCAATGGTGTAGAACCAGGAAGAGCAATCTCTCACCTTTCTGATCACTTGAGAGAGAAAGGAGCTCGGTGGGTCGCTCTTCATGGACGCCAGGAAGCCTGTGGAAAACCTACGGGATGAAGCCCGCTGCTCCATCTGCTTGGAAATATTCCAGGACCCCGTGTCCATCCACTGTGGGCACAGCTTTTGCCGGTCGTGTATCAGTCAGACCTGGGAAGGACTGACCACCAACTTCTTCTGCCCCCAGTGCAGGGAGACAGTGTCATGGAAAAGAGTCCGTCGCAACTGGGAATTGGCCAACATGATTGAAGCAGCCAAGAGATTGAACCTGCAACGGGACAGAGAGGTGGAAGGAGGGGAGAACTTGTGTGAGGAGCACCAGGAACCCCTGAAGCTCTTCTGCCAAGACGACAAAAGGCTTATCTGCGTGGTGTGTGACAGGTCCAAGGTGCACCGTGACCATTTTGTGGTTCCAATGGGCGAGGCTGCCCAGGAGTACAAGGTGAGGGGGTTATGGGTGTGTTGAGGCACAAAGGTCCAGAAGGTTCTGGTGTTGGTGCTGTTGATGGGTGGAGAACCCTGTAGAGCCTTTGGCCTGTGGGATAAACCCCCTGTGGACTCACCCATCCTTATGACTTGTTAACACCTCTTGAGGTGACATTGCCTGCCTTTGGCCTGTGGGATAAACCCCCTGTGGACTCACCCATCCTTATGACTTGTTAACACCTCTTGAGGTGGCATTGCCTGCCCTGAGGAAGAGGTGCACATAGGAGCAGCATGATCTTGGGCACCAAGGCGTCCTCTCCCCCATGATTCAGCCATGAGCAGAGCCTTTGGGGAGGGTAGAAACAGAGGTGTAGGATTTCTCCCCACCACAATCCCTCTGTAAAACTCCATCAATGGCTCTGTCCTCTGGGGTGGGGGTCCCTTCTCAAGGTCAGAACTGCTGAAGGTCAGTAGGAAAGGAGAAAAAGAGATCCTTCTCCCACCTCACAGCTTCCTGAAAGCACCTTGACATCACTTACCCCAAGAGCCACCAAGAGTTCCCCTTGCCAACACTTACCCCAAGAGCCACCAAGAGTTCCCCAGTGCTTCTGCTGAGGCTGCCAGACCACGATGCCATTCCACAGGGGACTTCTTTCTTTCTTTCCTCTCAGAAACAAATTCAGATCCAACTGTACCTTCTGAAATCAGAGGAAGAGGTGCTTCAGTCTTCCGTGACGGACAGACTAGACAGAATCAAGGACCACAATGTAGGTGTCCATTAGGTTTCCTGGGCATAGGGTGGGGGAAGAAAGGAGAAACTTCTCCTCCTCTCCCCCAGGGGTGACGGATGCTCAGGGGCTGTGGGGAAGGGAGAGGGGGTTTGTATCTTCCCCAAATGCCTCTTCTTGGTGGCTCCCACTGAGGCACAGCCCTCCCTTGACCCTTGATGCTCTTCTCCTTCTCTCTGCTGCTCTTTCCCTGCTTGGATTTGCACTTGGCAGGAGAGGACAGAAGCTGCAAAGCAGGAGATTGTGAGGACATATAGGAAGCTGCACGAGTTCCTGGACCAAGAGGAGTCCTGTTTTCTGGCCCAGCTGGAGCAGCTGGACACAGAGATAAGGAACGCCCATGAAGAAATCCTCCAGAGGCTTTTAGAGGAGACTACGAGGTTAGGCACACTGATTGGGGAGATGGAGAAGACGTTCCAGCAGCCAGACTGGCAGCTCCTGAAGGTGAGAGCCCAGGATTTCCAAACTGGCTGGGAAGGCCCACCTTGAGCTTGGTCTCCAGCCCCCGCTCCAAGAGGGACTTCCTTCGAGTGGGACCCTGGTACTCCAAGGGGAGGTGTTCCATCTCACTGAGTCTCTTCTTCTCTCTCCTCCAGGACATCGGAACCACCTTGAGCAGGTCTGTGGTCCTTCTCGTGTCACCATGTCACCACCACAGAGCAGCTCTGTGGCAGGACACGGGGAGAAAGCACTTGGGGACGGGTTGGCTCTTCTGCAGTACAGCCCTTGGAGTTGACCGAGGCCACGGGGGTTGGAAGGAGGGCTCTGCCTCTCTCTCCTGAATGAATGATGAATTTGGACCCGGGCTGGCAGGAGGCAGGAGCAGGGAGTGCTGAGAAAACTCGGAGCAGCAAACTCCAACCAGGTGTAAATCCATCCCCTCTTCCCTTCCAGGGGCCAGAGGGAAACGCTCTCCCACTCACTCGAGATTTCCCCGGACCTGGAAAAGAAATTCTCTGATTTCACCGAGAAGAACCTAAACATCATCACCACCACAGAGCAGCTCTGTGGCAGAACACAGGGAGAAAGCACTTGGGGACGGGCTGGCTCTTCTGCAGTACAGTCCTTGGAGTTGACCGAGGCCACGGGGGTTGGAAGGAGGGCTCTGCCTCTCTCTCCTGAATGAATGATGAATTTGGACCCGGGCTGGCAGGAGGCAGGAGCAGGGAGTGCTGAGAAAACTCGGAGCAGCAAACTCCAACCAGGTGTAAATCCATCCCCTCTTCCCTTCCAGGGGCCAGAGGGAAACGCTCTCCCACTCACTCGAGATTTCCCCGGACCTGGAAAAGAAATTCTCTGATTTCACCGAGAAGAACCCAGACATCAAGGAACTTCTGGAGAAATTCCAAGGTACCAAGGGCAGGTCAGAAAGGGCAATGCCATCGTGCTTCTTGGTGGGGAGGGATGGAGTGAAGCCAGGGGAAAGAAAGGCATCCTGGGTGCTGAATGAGGGGTTATTTTTTTTTCAAAATCCAACAATGAGACAGCAAAGGAGCAGCGAGCGTTGGCCTGATGTTCCCCGCCGTCTTCCTCCTCCTCTCGTCTTCCTCCTCAAGTTTCTCGACATTCCAAGTCTGTTCCTGACTATCGGGCCTTTTGCAGAAACCCATAATGAAATCAGCTGATCTTTCTGCCTCTCTCATTTTTCTCTTCCTTCTAGATTTCCTGGAATTCAAGCTTCCCTTGACAAGTAAGTGAACCGCACATATGCCTAACTGAGTCATCATATGAAATCAAAAATATGGTAAAAGAAGCTCTGCTGCCCCCAAAGATTGACCTTAAGTGCTCTTTTGCCTCTTTTCCCCCTTCTCCCACTCTGGTCCCACCACCTGGAGATGCCTGGAGGCATCCCAACTGGGTCAGTGGGATGGCAGGGGAGAGCAAAAGCCTGCAAATCTGCTGCAATGAACCGATCTCTGTCTCCACCTCCAGCACAGATGACGCTGGACCCAGAAACAGCCAACGCCAGGCTTTATCTCTCAGAAGATCGCAAGCTCGTGCGGTGGGAAATCCATGAGCAGGACCTGCCCTCCAACCCGAGGAGGTTCACAGCATACCCCTGTGTGCTGGGTTTGAGGGGCTTCACGTCAGGGTGCCACCACTGGGACGTGGAGGTCCACAGAGATGATGTGTGGGCCATTGGGGTGGCCAAGGAGTCAGTTCCAAGGGACCGTTGGTTGCACATGAAGCCTGAAGAGGGGGTATGGGCTCTGGGTCATAACCATGATGGGTACATGGCTCTGACCTCTCCAAATGTAACGCCCTTGACTCTACGCAGTGTCCCCAAGCGGATACGAATCTGCTTGGTCTATGAGAACGGGAGGGTGGTGTTTTTTGATGCTGAGAGCAAAGAACGGATCTTTGCTTTTCCACCAGCATTTTTCCAAGGGGAGAGAGTCTTCCCGTGGTTCATGGTGATGTGGGGTGGTGAACTCAAACTTCTTCCCTAAGGCACAGGAAAAAAAACAAACCCAAAGTCATCAACTTACCCTTGGGAAGGAAAGCAGGAACTGGGTTTTGTCCCAGTCCCACCAAAGGGACAGGAGATGGTAGCAGTGTTTAGGTTCCTTTCGTGCAATATGGTAGCATTTCTGGTCCTTAAACTGTATTTTGATCTTCCAATCACTAAATTGATGTTCATGGGTGCCTGCATAATTGCCCTGATGGAGAGTTGTAAGTAAAAGTACAATTCTAAGTAATTTCTGCCTTGTGTGTGTGCGCTTTTTGTCTTGGGTTTTTTATTTCTTGCGGTGTTTTCTTTGGAAGTTGCTTAAGGGAACTGGAGGAAGGAAAAGTCATCCTCCTTCCATTCTAAAACCTGCTGCACAGGGAGATGAGAAACCTGTGTTTTCTGCCCCCTCAAAACCCGCAAGTCTTTGGGAATAGAGGTGGGGAAAAGTCAGCCACAAGCCAGGAGCTGGAGTCCTTTGCATCTGGGTCCCAGCCTGCCTCCATTTGCAAAGGGGGGAGTCACAATTGGTCAGAAACCCCTGGAAATGGGGCTTCTCCTTTTGGTGCTGGCTCAGGCTGAGCCCTGATGTGCTGGGCTTTAGTCAAGGAAGAGACTGGGCTTGTTCCTTGAGAAGATACAGCAGAGCCAGGGGTTCAGATGAAGGTCCATCAAGTCCTTGTCTTGTCCCCAAACTTCCCTGCCTGGAAAAGCAAATAAGAGCAGGGCGAGGATGCCTTTGGCCCCAGGAGCCCTCTTTTTCCAGCCTCAGTGGGTAATTAAACAATTAACAGTGTATAAGTGTTACCTGAATCAAGATCTCTCAAAACCAGAAGCAGCTTAGAGAGGAAATATTGCTTTATTCCACGTTGGGTGCTAAGAGGTAATCCCCAAATCTAGCACCCCTTACTGGTGACATTCACCCATAATTTACACAAGGATTATCATTATTCCTCCTCCCTACTCTATAACTCCACCTGGGCTGACACATTCATTAGTGTGACCCAAGAGCTCCTTTTGCAAACACGTATTAAATTTGGCAGCGTCAGTAAGACAGTGCTGCATGGCCGTGAGCTCCTCGATGGCTGTTTGGGCAGGGATACCCTTCCTCACACAATCCTCATAATGTATTGAGTCATCTCGGGACATCAGGAGACGCTGACTGTAAGATGGACAGCTTCTGGAGGATGATAAGGATGTTCCTTGGAGTAGCCCCAGCTCTGTCCTAATTGGTACAGGAGCCCTTACTTTGACATAGGAGAGAACATTGAGGTGATAAACTACTTGTTATCCCATCCTTATCACTATCAGCTGGGAACTAACCATTCTCTCACACAGTCAGAAGGTCAGCAATTAACTATTTCCTCACAGAGGAAGAAGGTCAGTAGGAAGCAAACAATATTTTAGTTCTCACCTGGTTATAAACGAAGCAGAGGACTGACACAATGAGAGGCAGGGAGGGATGTTAAGAGTTCTCCCAAACAGCCCTACAGAGGTTTGAAGGAGTTCACGAGGCCTTGGAAGGAGAGCTCTCCCTCTCTCTACTTAAATAAGGATGAATTTCAACACAGACTGGCAGGAGGCAGGGCTGGGGGGAAGGGATCGGGAGTGCAAGTGGAGTTCTCCTCTGTCATTCCAGTGGCAGGGAAGGAGGAGGAAAGCAACAAGAGCCAGCAGATCCATACCTGGTTCCAAACCAGAAAAGGAAGGAAAAGCTCCAGTCCGGACCTCTCAGCTCTGTCACTGCAGCTCAGAGAAACCTGCTGGGACCTTGGAGGGTCTTGCAGGCACCAGCAATCTCCAGGGACGCAGGAGGATCTGTGCTCCAGAGCAGTCTCAGCAGGGTGTTGGTCTGATGGACCATCTTACCCCAAGGGCAAGGAGACAGAGAACGAGCAGCGAGCGTTGGCCTGATGTTCCCTGCCTGTCCTCCTCCTCTTTTTCTCCTCTGCCCCCTCAAGTTTCTCGACATTCCCCCAAGCCTGTTCCTGACTCTCAGGACTTTTGCAGAAACCCACAATCAGACCAACTGATCTTTTTGCCTCTCACAGTTTTCTCTTATCCCTCTAGAATTCTTGGAGTTCGAAGTTCCTTTGACAAGTAAGTGAACCGAACGTGTGCCAAACCAAGCCATCATATGAAATCAAAAATATGGTAAAAGAAGCTTTTCTGCCCCCAAAGATTGACCTAAAGTGCTCTGCTGCCTCCTTTCCCCCTTCTCCCATCTTGGTCCCACCACCAGGCGATGCCTGGAGGGGTCCCAACCAAGTCAGAGAGATGGGAGAGGAGAGAAAAAGCCCTGTTTCCCCTTAGATGTGCTGCCATGAGCCTGACTCTCTCTCCACCTCCAGCACAGATGATGCTGGACCCGGAGACGGCCAACGCCAGTCTTTATGTCTCAGAAGACTGCAAGCTCGTGCAATGCAAAAGGCATGACGAGGACCTGGCCTCCAACATGCAAAGGTTCAAAGTCCATCCCTGTGTGCTGGGCTTGAGGGGCTTCACATTGGGGTGGCACCGCTGGGATGTGGAGGTCCACAGAGAAGGCTATTGGGCCATCGGGGTGGCCAAGGAGTTGGTTAGAAGGCGCCACTGGTTGGGCCTTAAGAATTATAAGGCGATATGGGCTCTGCGTCATTACTTAAATGAGTACGAGGCTCTGACCTCTCCGAATGTCACCCCCTTAACTCTATATGGGCCATCGGGGTGGCCAAGGAGTCGGTTAGAAGGCGATATGGGCTCTGCGTCATTACTTAAATGAGTACGAGGCTCTGACCTCTCCGAATGTCACCCCCTTAACTCTATGCAGTGTCCCCAAGCAGATACGAATCTGCTTGGACTATGAGAATGGGAGGGTGCTGTTTTTGATGCCGAGAGCAAAGAACGGATCTTTGCTTTTCCACCAGCATCTTTCCAAGGGCAGAGAGTCTTCCCGTGGTTCATGGTGATGGGGGATGCTCAACTCAAACTTCTCTCCTAAAGCACAGAATAAAAAAAACCCCAAAGCCATCAACTTACCCTTGGGAAAGAAACCAGAGGCTGGGTTTTGTCCCAGTCCCACCAAAGGGACAGGAAAGGGGAGCGGTGTTCAGGTTCCTTTCCTTCTGTGCAAAATGGGAGCATTTCTATCCTTTAAACTATATTTTAAACTTTCAATCACAAAATGGTTGTTACAGGTGGCTGCAAATGGCCTAATTGGAATTTAAAATTAAAAGTGCAATTCAAGTCATTTCTGAATTTTGTGTGGGCTTTTTATCTGGATTTTTTATTTCCTGTGGGGTTTTCTTTGGAATTTTCTTAAGAGAACTGCAGGAAGGGAATGTCATCCTGGTTCCTCTCCAAAACCCACTGCACAGGGAGATGAGACCCAGAGGTTCAGGTGAAGGTCCATCAAGCCCTCCTCTTGTCCCCAGATGTGGAAAACAGATCAGAGCAGGGTGATGATGCCTATGGTCCCAGGAGCCCTCTTTTCCCAGCTTCAGTGGGTAATTAATCAAATAACAGGGTGTTAATGAGGGGCACTGGGGGAATCTGATATCGGGCTCTGCCCTCTCTCTAACCCCCTTAGGCCCTGGCAGCGTTTTGATCCTTCTCCTTTCCAGGCTGCATCATCCCAGTCATTCCCCATCCATCCTGGGCTTTAGTTTGGTGCCCTCACCCTCTTTCCCCCCTGACCGTACTGGGAAGCCCCAAACTGGTCCCCGTGCCCAGATATTGGCCTCACCTGTGCTGCTGGAGGGGAGCAACCCCATATGGGGCTGATATCACAGGAGGGTTTGGCTTGGAAGGGACCTTACAGACCATCCAGTCCCACCCCCTTGCCACAGGCAGGGACACCTCCCACCAGACCAGGTTGCTCCAAGCCCTGTCTAACCTGGCCTTGACCATCTCCAGCTTTTCTGCACAACCTCTTGCATTGTCTCAGCCCCCTGGAAGTGGAGAAGCCTCAGAAGGTGGAGAAGCCCCAGCAAGTTGGTCCCATTACTGACTCATGGGCAACTTGTCCCCTTCCTCAGAGACCCCAGACGTCCTCTTCCGTAGCTGGTCCTGGTCCAGGAGGGTCTCCAACCCCAAGTTCCATGACATTTCTTCCCAAAGCCCCGTCTCAGCCTTACCCAGGAGGCTCCAGCCCATCCTGGTCCCTCTGAAGAGCCGTCCCGCCCTCCTCCCGTCTCCTTATCTGCTCACTCACATCTGGTGGGATGTGGGAGCAGTGGGAGGCTGGAGGCAGGAGGAACCATCACACGCATCTGCCCTCTTTTCACTCTCTCTGTGCGGCGAGGGCTGGGAGTTGTTTTCCCCACCATTTTCAACCAGGAGGAGGAAGGTCGTCTTCTTCCCTGTGAAGCCAAGCTCCTTTGATCCTATCCCAGAGGTGAGTTGGGAAGAGCAATGGCAACCTGGAGCCCACGGAAAACCTGCAGAGCGAAGCCTCCTGCTCCATCTGCCTGGGCTTCTTCCAAGACCCCGTGTCCGTCCACTGCAGGCAGAGTGTTTACCGGTTGTGTATCACTCGGACCTGGGAAGGAGTGACCAGCAACTTCTCCTGCCCCCAGTGCAGGGAGACAGTGTCTCAGAAGAGCCTCTGCCCCAGCAGGGAAGTGGTCAACAGTAACCCAAAAAGCAGATCAAACGAGTCCCAGTCTCCACCTCGAATCTCATTTTTCCTGGGCTTCTTCCAAGACCCCGTGTCCGTCCACTGCAGGCAGAGTGTTTACCGGTTGTGTATCACTCGGACCTGGGAAGGAGTGACCAGCAACTTCTCCTGCCCCCAGTGCAGGGAGACAGTGTCTCAGAAGAGCCTCTGCCCCAGCAGGGAAGTGGTCAACAGTAACCCAAAAAGCAGATCAAACGAGTCCCAGTCTCCACCTCGAATCTCATTTTCGTGGTGTTTCCAAGAGCAGGAGATTGAGAAAGGGTCACCTTGGGCGGATTTTTTTAACATTTGGGTGCCCTCCACGATTTCTCTGGGGAATCTCACCCTGGGAGGAGCAGGAGAACAAAGCCCAGGATTTGGGCACAGCCCCTGGGGACACCATTTTCAAAGCTTTCACCCCTCCTGCCCTTCTCCCACCCTTTCCAACTTCTCCTTACCTTGACACTTCACACTCTTGACTCTGGACTGTCGACACTGATGCTCCTGCAGGGCTGGAGAAGCTGGCTCTGGTTCCTGCTTTGGATCCAAGAAAGGAGATGATTATTTTGCTGAATCCGGCTTAATATCTGGCATTTTCCCACCAGGGCCTCTTGTGAGTCAAAAACCTTCATGGTATCAGCAAGAACATACATAATTTTCAAGGCTTTGGTGTTGAACCCTGTTCATTTCAGCTGCCTTTGGCTGAGTTGTGGGGTGGGAGAAATCAGGGGTGGGAGGAAGGAAAGATGAAGACAAGGAGCTGGAACTTGGCCTTTCTGCAATTTATAGATATTCCTTTGGGTCAGGAAGCCTAATAAGCAGCTTTATATCAGGCGAGGGTGCTGGAAAGAAGGGGCAAGACCCATTCTTGAAAGTCAAAGGCCTTGAAAAAGCCAGGAAAGGAAGGAAAAGCTCCAGTGCGGACCTCTCAGCTCTGTCCCCGCAGCTCAGAGAAAGCTGCTGGGACCTTGGAGGGTCTTGGAGGCCCCAGCAATCTCCAGGGACGAGGGAGGATCCCTGTTCCAGAGGAGTCTCAGCAGGGTGTTGGTCTGATGGACCATCTTACCCCAAGGGCAAAGGGGATCTCCATGGGGTCAGGAGCAGCAGAAATTGCTTCTGACAGAAAGAAGGCCCTACTCTACAGTGAGATGCACATTTGAACCCTTCAGGTGACCCAAGAGATGCTGGAGTCCTCCCAAACAGCCCTACAGAGCCTGTCCTGAAGAGGGGATGAGGTCCTTCCCAAGCCCTGGCCACGTCCTCTCACCCCTGACATCTCAGAGGCAGTTTCAGCCACCGCTTGTCTGCCTCCCACTGCAGCTGCACCACAACCTCTCTGAGGTGCCACCAGGGCCTGAAACTCCTCTTCCAGCTGCTCTTGAGTCACCAAATGCCACCGGACTCCACTTATGGGATGTGGCTTTGGAGACTGAACAATCCCAGTGCCTACAGGAAAGTGTAAAATGGGATGGGCGTCTCCAATCGCCGTCCTCCTCAGCTGTCCAACCACTGCATCCCAGAGCAATATAAGTTCATATATGGCCTGAAGCCCTGCTGGGAAGGGGCTGGGTCTCAGTGTAAGCAAAGGTTTAGAAAGAGGAAATCTCTCTCCTTCCTCTTTCTTCAAAATCGAAACCAACTTGGAGACTGAAGCTGCGACAGTGGCTCTTCATGGCAGCCAGGATGCCTCTGGAAATGCTCCAGGATGATTCCTGCTGTTCCATCTGCCTGGGAATATTCCAGGACCCCGTGTCCATCCACTGTGGGCACAGCTTTTGCCGGTCATGCATCACTGAGACCTGGGAAGGACGGACCACCAATTTCTCCTGCCCCCAGTGCAGGGAGACGATGGCACGAAAGATCCTCCGCCCCAACAGGGAGCTGGCCAACATGCTTGAAGCAGCCAAGAGATTGAACGAGGAACCTGTCAGAGAGGTGGAAGGAGGGGAGAACATCTGTGAGAAACACCAGGAACCTCTGAAGCTCTTCTGCAAAGATGAGGAAAGGCTTATCTGTGTGGTGTGTGACAGGTCTGCAGTGCACCGTAACCATTCTGTGGTTCCCATGGATGAGGCTGCTCAGGGGTACAAGGTGAGGGGGTCATGGGTGTGTTGAGGCACTGAAATCCAGAAGCTCCTGGTGTTGGTGCTCTTGATGGGTGGAGATCCCTGTAGAGCCTTTGGCCTGTGGGATCACCCATCCTTATCTCTTGCTACCAACCCTTGAGGTGGCATTGCCTGCCCTGAGGAAGAGGTGGACGTAGGAGCACCACACTCTTGGGGACCAACAGGTGCTCTCCCCCAGGATACAGCCACGAGCAGGGACTTAGGGGAGGGTAGGAAACTGAGGCAGAGGAGTTCTCCCCTGCAAAAATCCCCCTGCAAAACTCCCTCAATGGCTCTGTCCTCCGGGGTGCGGGTTCCTTATCAAGGTCAGCTCTGCTGAAGATCAGTAAGACAAAAAAGGGGGAGAGATCCTCAGCCCTTCTCACAACCCACAGCTCCCTGAAAGCACCTTGAACTTTGTGAAAAAAGAAAAAGTAAAACCCAGGAAAAATGGAGGGGCGTATACACCTTGAAACAGTCATGGGGGTCCCAAAACTCTGCCAACACTTACCCCAAGAGCCATCAAGAGTTTCCCAGTGCTTCTGCTGAGGCTGCCAGACCACGATGCCATTCCACAGGGGACTTCTTTCTTTCTTCTCAGAAACAAATTGAGACCAAACTGTACGTACTGAAATCAGAGCAAGAGGCGCTTCAATCTTCCGTGAAGGACACAGAAGACAGACTCAAGGACCACACTGTAGGTGCCCATCAGTTTTCCTGGGCAGAGAGTGGGGGAAGAAAGGAGGAACATCTCCTCCTCCTCCTCCTCTCCCGCAGGGGTGGGTGATGCTCAGGGGCTGTGGGGAAGGGAGGGGGGGTTTGTATCTTCCCCAAATGCCTCTTCTTGGTGGCTCCCAGTAAGGCATGGCCCACCCTTGACCCTTGATGCTCTTCTCCTGCTCTCTGCTGCCCTTTCCCCGCTTCCGCTTCTCCCTTGGCAGGAGAGGACAGAAGCTGCAAGGCAGGAGATTGTGAGGACATATAGGAAGCTGCATGAGTTCCTGGACCAAGAGGAGTCCTCTCTTCTGGCCCAGCTAGAGCAGCTGGACACAGAGATAACAAAAGCCCATGAAGAAATCCTCCAGAGGCTTTTGGAGGAGACGACGAGGCTGGGCACACTGATTGGGGAGATGGAGAGGACGTACCAGCAGCCAGACTGGCAGCTCCTGAAGGTGAGAGCCCAGGCTTTCCAACCTGGCTGGGAAGGCCCACCTTGAGCTTGGTCTCCAGCCCTCCCTTGTCTCCCCCAACCCGCTCCAAGAGGGACTTCCTTCGAGTGGGACCCCGGTACTCCAAGGGGAGGTGTTCCATCTCACTGAGTCTCTTTTTCTCTCTCCTCCAGGACATTGGAACCACCTTGAGCAGGTCTGTGGTCCTTCTCCTGTCCCCATGTCACCACCACAGAGCAGCTCTGTGGCAGGACACGGGGAGAAAGCACTTGGGGACGGGTTGGCTCTTCTGCACTACAGCCCTTGGAGTTGACCGAGGCCACCGGGGGGGTTGGAAGGAGGGCTCTGCCTCTCTCTCCTGAATGAATGATGATGAATTTGGACATGGGCTGACAGGAGGCAGGAGCAGCAAAGTCCAACCAGGTGTAAATCCATCCCCTCTTCCCTTCCAGGGGCCAGAGGGAAACGCTCTCCCACTCACTCGAGATTTCCCCGGAGCTGGAAAAAAAATTCTCTGAATTCACCAAGAAGAACCCAAATATCAAGGATCTTCTGGAAAAAGTTCCAGGTACGAAGGGCAGGTCCAGAAAGGGCAATGCCATCGTGCTTCTCGGTGGGGAGGGATGGAGTGAAGCCAGGGGAAAGAAACGCACCTTGGGTGTTGAATGAGGGGTTATTTCTTTCAAAATCCCGCAATGAGACAATGAGACAGCCAACGAGCAGTGAGCGTTTTCTTGGTGTTCCCTGCCTGTCCTCCTCCTCTTCTCCTCTGCCTCCTCAAGTTTCTCGACCTTCCCCCAAGCCTGTTCCTGACTCTTGGGACTTTTGCAGAAACCCACAATCAGACCAACTGATCTTTGTGTTTCTCCCATTTCTCTCTTCCCTCTAGATTTCCTGGAGTTCGAGCTTCCCTTGACAAGTAAGTGAACCAAACAGGTGCCCAACCATTAGATTTACCTAAAGTGTTCTGCTGCCTCCTTTCCCCCTTCTCCCACCCTGGTCCCACCACCAGGCAATGCCTGGAGTGGTCCCAACCAGGTCCGAGTGGAGGGAGTGTGCAGTACAAGCCCTGTTTCCCCCAAAATCTGCTGCAATGAGCCTGACTCTCTCTCCACCTCCAGCACAGATGACGCTGGACCCAGAAACAGCAAACGCCAGGCTTTGTCTCTCAGAAGATTGCAAGCTTGTGTGGTGGAAATGCTGTGAGCAGGTCCTGCCCTCCAACTCGAGGAGATTCAAATGTGATCACTGTGTGCTCTGTTCGTGCGGCTTCACCTCGGGGTGGCACCGATGGGATGTGGAGGTCCAAAGAGAAGGTGTGTGGGCCATTGGTGTGGCCAAGGAGTCGGTTCCAAGGGGCCATGGGTTGTGCCTGAAGCCCGATGAGGGGGTATGGGCTCTGCATCATACCCATGATGGGTACGAGGCTCTGACCTCTCCTTGTGCCACCCCCTTGACTCTACACAGCATCCCCCAGCGGATACGAATCTGCTTGGACTATGAGAAAGGGAGGGTGCTGTTTTTTGATGCTGAGAGCAAAGAACGGATCTTTGCTTTTCCTCAGGCATCTTTCCAAGGGGAGAGAGTCTTCCCGTGGTTCATGGTGATTGGGGGTGCTCAACTTAAGCTTCTTCCTTAAGGCACAGGAGAAAAAAAAAACCCAACCCCCAAAGCCACCAACTTACCCTTGGGAAAGAAACCAGGGTCTGGGTTTTGTCCCAATCCCACCAAAGGGACAGGAAAGGGGAGCGGTGTTCAGCTTCCTCTCCTTCCGTGCAAAATGGGAGCATTTCTGTGCCTTCAACTCTATTTTGATTTTTTAATCGCTCTTTAATCACTAAATGGTTGTTACAGGGTGTCTGCAAACTTGCCCTGATGGGGAGTTAAAAATAAACGTGCAATTCTAAGTCCTTTCTGCCTTTTTATCTTGGGTTTTTTATTTCCTGTGGAGTTTTCTTTGGAAGTTGCTTTAGAGAACTGGAGAAAGGAAAAGTTATCCTTGTTCCTCTCCAACACCCACTGCACAGGGAGATGAGACCCAGGGGTTCAGATGAAGGTCCATCAAGCCCTCCTCTTGTCCCCAGATGTCCTTGCCTAGTAAAGCAGATAAGAGCAGGGTGAGGATGCCTATGGCCCCAGGAGCTCTCTTTTCCCACTGCTGTGGTTTGGCCTCAGATGGCCACAAAGGACCACGTGCAGCCGCTCGTGCAGACCAATGTCCCCACTGCCAGTGAGGCCGGGAGGGAAAAATTGGAAGAAAAAGGCAAAACCCGTGGGGTTGAGACAAAGGCAATTTAACAGAACAGCAAAGGGAGCAAGAAACAACAATAACAGTGACAGAGGAATATACAACCATGATTACGATACTGCCACTTGCCCCACCGAACCTTGGACGCCCCCAACTGCTCTCCTCCCTTGGGGGTCACCTCCTCTCCCCTCCCCCTTCCCCTGGCTAGCTCCGGCTGCCCCTTGGGCATGGCTCACATGGGATGGAATACTTGTGTCCCTGCTGGTTCCTGGGGACATTTAAACCTATCCCCACCAGACCCAGGATATCATCCACCCCTTATTCCATATCATTTCATGCCATGCCCAGATCCTGCAGTTTCCAGTTGTATTCTATCAGTTTCTCCTGACATATATATATATACATACAGGTATAATGTCCTTAGTCTATGGGCCATCACTCTAAAATATCCGTTGAGTTCATTAAATGAACTTCAGGCTCCATCTGTTAGAACGGTCTCTCAGGCCATGCAAGATGATGTATGTGGGGGCTGGACTGTCGCATGTTGTATCTTTTTTTTGGGCCTTGTGGCTGATGTATCTGGTGCAGCTCATGTCCATGGTCCAAGGGCTGGAGATGTTTATCTCAAGGAAATTGCTGGGCGCCAGCTGCTGAGGTCAATTCTGGTCCCTTCACTACTGCACTTTACTCGGGTTTTCATCAGAGTTCATTTGTCATTAGTCTGGGTGCTTTTTACTATAGTACAACCAATAGCAGTCACCAAAATGAGATGGACAGTGGCCGGGTCATTTAGCAATTAACATCATACAGTTTCATTCATTGGCTATTCTCGCCCAAAATCAGGTTCCCGTGTGGTACACACTGCACTTCCCCATCCTTCCGCATCACCCACCAAGTGCATCCGGGTCCTTGAGCAAAGGCAACCCCACGGACAGGTTTGCCTTTGCCTGAGGCAGGGCTGACCCAGACCATCTTCCTTAACATATTCTTCATTGTCGCTGTTGAGACGGCCACGACGACACACAGCTTCGTGAGCGAGAGCCCAAAAGACCCCACTTTATTGTTTTAACAAACTCTTTTATATCTTTCTTAGGAACGTGTGTCCATGTATAATTGGTTCGCTCAAAGCCCAGCAGTTCATGATTGGATGACTTTCTCCTCCTTTGTTCTCTGTTGTAACTTCAGTAGCTTTCCTCTGCTGGCAGTCTGACAGGTCCTTAATCTTATGTACTCCCCTCTTCTCAGGACTCTCAGGCCTCTTCAAGGATACACAGGTGTCTACTCAAGGCTGATGTTAAGCTCACATTCCGATCCCTCAGACCAGCCAAGGTTTCCCACAAAATGGTTCTTACAGGATAGTTTCAAACTTGCCCTGATGGGGAGTTAAAAGTGCAATTCTAAATCATTACTGCCTTGCGTGTGGGCTTTTTATATTGGGTTTTTACTTCCTGAGGGTTTTCTTTGGAAGTTGTTTAAGAGAACTGGAGGAAGGAAAAGTCATCCTCCTTTATTCTCTAAAACCCACTGCACAGGGAGATGAGAAACCTGCGTTTCGTGCCTCCTCAAACTCAGCAAGTCTGTGGGAATAGAGGTGGGGAAAAGTCAGCCACAAGCCAGGAGCTGGAGTCATTTGCAGCTGAGTCCCAACCTGACTCCATGTGCAAAGGGGAAGCCAAAATTGGCCAGAAACCCCTGGAAATGGGGCTGCTGCTTTTGGTGCTGGCTCTTCTTGGTGTTTCCCTCCCTCTTCCCTGCCACTGTAATGACAGAGGAGATGCCACGTGCACTCCTGATCCCTTCTCACAAGGAATATCCCCCGATGGATCTTCTCTCATGGTTTTTCCATCCCTGCTCCAGATGATGGGGGTACGTCGAGATGGAGATGTGCATCAGGGCAGAGCATGATGGGACAGTCTCTGCTCGGGTCCCCAGCCTTGGGGTTACCATCAACCCCCCCTGGTGTGCAGGTCTGTGGTGACGCCCTGGACAGCCACCCCAGTGTCCCTCACCAGGGCTTCAGGGCTGCAGTCCCCAGCCGGTTTGGAGCAATTTTCGCTGCGGGGGTGGCAGGAACCTCAGACCCTTCTCCCCCCTCGCTGCCTGTTGGCAGCTCGGTGGCAGGATCCCCAGAGTGGTCATCAGGGCTTGGGTTTCCTGTCCCCTCCTCCCTGTCCCCAACCCTCTGGCCTCCCCGCTCTTCAGTGGCATGGAGGACGAGGAAGGCTACATGGCCTTAGAGAAGTGGGGGGCTGCCCTCCAGGGTGCAGGTATTGGGGGTGGGAGGTGGGGTGGGGGCATCTTCTGGTCCTCCTCCCCCCCAAAATTGGGTGTGGGAGAGAGGAAATAGGGGGCGGTGATGACTGTCGGGTCCCTGAGAGCTGCTCAAGCTGGGGAAACTGAGGCACAGAGGGAGGCAGGGGGGTCTGGGGGTTTGGAGGGGTTCTTTTCTGGAGGTTGTAGCTTGTCAGACCCACCCCGGGCTGTCTGCTGCCCTGCCTCTTCTGAGCTGTCACCTCAAAAGAGGGAGGGGAGGGCATTTTGGGGACACCCACCTCCTGCTGCTGGTCCTTACCAGGGTCTGCAGGGGTTAGGGGGTGGTGATGGATGCTCTCAACCCCCTGCACCGCCACCCCCCCCCTTTTTTTTTATTTGTACCACTGACCACAGGATCATTGTGGTTGGACTCGATGATCTCGGAGGTCCCTTCCAACTACTAAGATTCTGTGATTCTGTGATCCTGCAAGACCCCCAGGGAGGTTGTGCCCCATGGTGGGCAAGTGTCCTTGCAGGAGCCCCCCGTCATCCCTGCTGTCTTCTTGGGACCCTCACAGACACTCTGGCACTGTCTCTCATGGTGTGTGGTGAGTTGAGGCAGGGGGGGTGTTGTATTTAGGATGGTGGGGAGGGATCGGGTGCCCCCTCCATCCTCTCCATCATCCATCTCTCCCAGTGGCTTTGCTGGTGGCAGAGAGGGAACAGCTTGAGGGGACACGGGGATGTGGGAAGGCGTCGCTGGGATGCAGTTGTACCGCCTCAAGGCTGAGGAAGAGCCTGTGTCCCTGAGAGGTAACCCCCCCTCAAGCCCCATCCGGGGGTCCCCCCCAACAATAAGGCATGAGGGAACATCTCCCTGGCCAGATGGCAGTGACAGCCAGAGTGCCTTAGTGTGGCTGTGTCCCTCTGTCTGTCCCCAGAGGATGAGGGGTGCACCCTCTGCCCCACCAACTGGACGCTGTGGGGGACCAAGTGCTACTGGGCATCCCGTGGGATGAGCCTTTGGAATTCCAGCCGGGAGGACTGTGGGAAGCAGGGGGGTGAGTTGCTGATGCTGGAGGACCAGGAGGAGCTGGTAAAGGGGTTTGGGATGGGGTTTGGTGGCACCTGGGGAAGGACCAAGGGCTGGCCCAGAAACCTGGTGTGAGCATCCAGCCCTGGGCGCCTTCACCTGGGGAACACTAGGGGAGTGGGGGGGGGCTGTGTCCTGGGACGGGAGACCTGTTTTGGGGTGCTGATCTGTGACATGTCAGTGTCACCCTGTGTCCTCTTCTCTCCCCACTTCCCGCCCCCGACTCCAGGATTTTGTTAATGGAACCCTCCAAAAACCCACCCCTTACTTCTGGATCAGCCTCTTGGCTGGGAAGGGCTGGACCTGGCTGAATGACCCCTGCCTGGACCCCAGCCAGTGAGAGCTTTTTTGGGAGGGGGGGGACACACATGGATGTCGGGATGGGCACCATCACCCCAGGGCCCTGGGTGTGTGATGTGGGGTCCTTCTTGCACCCCCAGATTCCAGCTGAGCCCCCAGGATGAAGGTGGATCCTGTGGGGTGATCAGGGAGGGCAGGATCAGCTCCAAGAGCTGCGGCTCCACCGTCCAGTGGATCTGCCAGAAAGAAGCCACCCAGCTCTGAGCACAGGGGCCACCAGGATCTCTCCCCCCGTCCCCAACTCCTGCACAGGTGGGACAACCTGGAAGCCAGTGAAGAGGATGTGTTGTGACAGCAACCATCTGCACTAATTAATAACCACGTTTAGATTATCCGGGCTCTGTGTTGTGTTCCTGAGCTGGAAGGAACATCCTTCTGTCCCTGTCACCCTCCCTGTCCCTTCCACGGCTCCAGGGGGGCTCCAGAGCTCCCCCCATATCCCACCCCCTTGTTTTGGTCTTCCCCTCCCAACAACCACTCCCCTCAATCTTCCTCCTACCCTCCTCTTCATCCTCAGGCGGTGCTTTCCCCCTAGGTCCCAACATAACTCACCAAGGGGCAGTGGAGGAGAGGGGGAGGCTGGTGGCACAAGGCTGGTGGCCAAGGCCCAGACAAAGAGCAGGAAGTTAAAAAGGAGTCCTATGGACCCAGGAGCCCTGTTTTCCCAGATTCAATGTGTAATTAAACAATTAAAAGGGTATAATGAGAGTTTCCCAAACAGCCCTACAGAGTCTGTCCTGAAGGGGGCTGAGGTCCTTCCCAAGCCCTGGTCATATCCTCTCACCCCTGACATCTCAGAGGCAGTTTCAGCCACTGCTTGTCTCCCACCCGCAGCTGCACCACAACTTCTCTGAGGTGCCACCAGGGCCTGAAACTCCTCTTCCAGCTGCTGTTGAGTCCCAAAATCCCACTGGACTCCATGGATTGGAAGTGGCTTTGGAGAGTGAAAAATTCCCAGGGCCTCCAGGAAAGGGTGAAAATGGGATGGGCGTCTCCAATTCCCTTCCTCCTCAGCTGTCCAACCCCTACATCCCGGAGGAATATAAATGACTCTATTGTCTGAAACCCTGCTGGGAAGGGGCTGGGTCTCAGTGTAAGCAAAGGTGTAGAAACAGGAAATCTCTCTCCTTCCTCTTTCTTCAAAATCAAAACAAACTTGGAGACTGAAGCTGTGACGGTGGCTCTTCATGGCAGCCAGGACGCCTCTGGAAATCCTCCAGGATGAAGCCTGCTGCTCCATCTGCCTGGGAATATTCCAGGACCCCGTGTCCATCCACTGTGGGCACAGCTTTTGCTGGTCGTGCATCACTCGGACTTGGGAAGGACTGACCACCAACTTCTCCTGCCCCCAGTGCAGGGACATGGTGTCCCAGAAGAGCCTCCGCCCCAACAGGAAGTTGGCCAACGTGATTGAAGCAGCCAAGAGCTCGAACATTAAATGGGACAGAGAGGTGGAAGGAGGGGAGACCTTGTGCGAGAAACACCAGGAACCCCTGAAGCTCTTCTGCCAAGATGACAAAAGGCTTATCTGCGTGGTGTGCGACAGGTCCGAGGTGCACCAGTACCATTCTGTGGTTCCCGTGGACGAGGCGGCCCAGGAGTGCAAGGTGAGGGGGGTTATGGGTGTGTTGAGGCACAAAGGTCCAGAAGGATCTGGTGTTGGTGCTGTTGATGGGTGGAGATCCCTGTAGAGCCTTTGGCCTGTGGGATAAACCTATTGTGGAGTCACCCATCCTTGTCTCTTGCCACCAACCCTTGAGGTGGCATTGCCTGCCCTGAGGAAGAGGCGGACATAGGAGCACCACGCTCTTGGAAACAAGAGAAGTTAAATAACCCTGAAACAATCATGGGGGTCCTAAAACAACCAGTACCATTCTGTGGTTCCCGTGGACGAGGCGGCCCAGGAGTGCAAGGTGAGGGGGGTTATGGGTGTGTTGAGGCACAAAGGTCCAGAAGGATCTGGTGTTGGTGCTGTTGATGGGTGGAGATCCCTGTAGAGCCTTTGGCCTGTGGGATAAACCTATTGTGGAGTCACCCATCCTTGTCTCTTGCCACCAACCCTTGAGGTGGCATTGCCTGCCCTGAGGAAGAGGCGGACATAGGAGCACCACGCTCTTGGAAACAAGAGAAGTTAAATAACCCTGAAACAATCATGAGGGTCCTAAAACACTGCCAACACTTACCCCAAGAGCCACCAAGAGTTCCCCGGTGCTTCTGCTGAGGCTGCCAGACCATGACGCCATTCCGCAGGGGACTTCTTTCTTTCTTTCTTCTCAGAAACAAATTGAGACCCAACTGCACCTTCTGAAATCAGAGCAAGAGGCGCTTCAATCTTCCGTGAAGGACACACAAGACAGACTCAAGGACCACACTGTAGGTGCCCATCAGTTTTCCTGGGCAGAGGGTGGGGGAAGAAAGGAGGAACATCTCCTCCTCCTCCTCCTCCCCCTGAGGTTTGGGTGATGCTCAAGGGCTGTGGGGAAGGGAGAGGGGGTTTGTATCTTCCCCAAATGCCTCTTCTTGGTGGATCTTACTAAGACACAGCCCACCCTTGACCCTTGATGCTCTTCTACTGTTCCCTGCTGCCCTTTCCCCGCTTCTGCTTCTCCCTTGGCAGGAGAGGACAGAAGCTGCAAAGCAGGAGATTGTGAGGACATGTAGGAAGCAGCACGAGTTCCTGGACAAAGAGGAGTCCTCTCTTCTGGCCCAGCTGGAGCAGCTGGACACAGAGATAATGAACGCCCATGAAGAAATCCTCCAGAGGCTTTTGGAGGAGACAACAAGGCTGGGCACGCTGATTGGGGAGATGGAGAAGACCTACCAGCAGCCAGACTGGCAGCTCCTGAAGGTGAGAGCCCAGGCTTTCCAAACTGGCTGGGAAGGCCCACCTTGAGCTTGGTCTCCAGCCCTCGCTTGTCTCCCCCAACCCGCTCCAAGAAGGACTTCCTTAGAGGGGGACCCCGGTACTCCAAGGGGAGGTGTTCCATCTCACTGAGTCTCTTTTTCTCTCTCCTCCAGGACATTGGAACCACCTTGAGCAGGTCTGTGGTCCTTCTCCTGTCCCCATGTCACCACCACAGAGCAGGTCTGTGGCAGGACACGGGGAGAAAGCACTTGGGGACGGGTTGGCTCTTCTGTGGTACAGCCCTTGGAGTTGACGGAGGCCACAGGGGGTTGGAAGGAGGGCTCTGCCTCTCTCTTCTTAATTGATGATTGATTTGAACACAGGCTGGCAGGAGGCAGGAGCAGGGGGTGCTGAGATAACATGGAGCAGCAAACTCCAACCAGGTGTAAATCCATCCCCTCTTCCCTTCCAGGGGCCAGAGGGAAACACTCTCCCAATCACTCGAGATTGCCCCAAAGCTGGAAAAGAAATTCTCTGAATTCGCCAAGAAGAACCCAGACATCAAGGAACTTGTGGAGAAATTTCAGAGTACGAAGGGCAGGTCCAGAAAGGGCAATGCCATTGTGCTTCTTGGTGGGGAGGGATGGAGTGAAGCCAGGGGAAAGAAAGGCATCCTGGGTGCTGAATGAGGGGTTATTTCTTTCAAGATCCCACAAGGAGACAGAGAACGAGCAGCGAGCGTTGGTCTGATGTTCCCTGCCTGTCCTCCTCTTCTCCTCTGCCTCCTCGACCTTCCCCCAAGCCTGTTCCTGACTCTCGGGACTTTTGCAGAAACTCATAATCAGAACAACTGATCTTTCTGCCTCTCACATTTGTTTCTTCCCTCTAGATTTCCTGGAGTTTGAGCTTCCTTTGGCAAGTAAGCGAACTGAACACGTGCCCAAATGTTAAATTGATTTTAAGTGTTCTGCTGCTTCCTTTCCCCCTTCTCCCACCCTGGTTGGACCTCCAGGTGATGCCTGGTGGGGTCCCAACTGGGTCAGAGGGATGGGAAGGGAGAGAAAGAGCCCTGTTTCCCCCCAGATCTGCTGCAATGAGCCTGACTCTCTCTCCACCTCCAGCACAGATGACGCTGGACTCAGAGACGGCCAACGCCAGGCTTTATCTCTTGGAAGACTGCAAGCTTGTGCGGTGGGATTGCTGTGAGCAGGACCTGCCCCCCAACCCAAAAAGGTTCAAAGTCAATCACTGTGTGCTGGGCTTGAGGGGCTTCACATCGGGGTGGCACTGCTGGGATGTGGAGGTCCACAGAGAAGGCACATGGGCCATTGGGGTGGCCAAGGAGTCGGTTCCAAGGAACCGTTGGGTTGTCCTGAATCCCAGTGAGGGGATATGGGCTCTGTGTCATATCCAAAATGAGTACACGGCTATGACATCTCCTGATGCCATCCCTTTGACTCTACGCCGTGTCCCCAAGCGGATACGAATCTGCTTGGACTATGAGGAAGGGAGGGTGCTGTTTTTTGAAGCTGAGAGCAAAGAACGGATCTTTGCTTTTCTGGCAGCATCTTTCCAAGGGGAGAGAGTCTTCCCGTGGTTCATGGTGACGGGGGATGTTCAACTCAGACTTTTTCCTTAAGGCACAAGACAAAAAAACCCAACCCCCAAAGTCCTCGAGTTCCCCTTGGGAAATAAACCAGGGGCTGGGTTTTGTCCCAATCGCACCAAAGGGACAGGAAAGGGGAGCGGCGTTCAGTTTCCTTCCCTTTAGTGAAAAATAGGAGCATTTCTGTGCCTTAAACTCTATTTTGATCTTTTAATCACTGTTTAATCATTAATGGCTTTTACGTGGAGGCTGTGAACTTGCCCTGATGTGGTGTTAAAAGTAAAAGTTCAATTCTATACAATTTCTGCCTTGTGTGTGTGCTTTTTATCTTGGGTTTTTATTTCCTACTGGGTTTTCTTGGAAGTTGTTTAAGAGAACTGGAGGAAAGAAAATCCATCCTGGTTCCTCTCCAAAACCCACTGCACAGGGAGATGAGACCCAGGGGTCCAGGTGAAGGTCCATCAAGTCCTTCTCTTTTCCCCAGAGGTCCCTGCCTGGGAAAGCAGATCAGAGCAGGGTGAGGATGCCTATGGCCCCAGGAGCCCTCTTTTCCCAGCCTCAATGGGTAATTAACCAATTAACGGGATGTAATGAGTGGCACTGGAGGGATCTGATATCGGGCTCTGCCCTCTCTCTAACCCCATTGGGCCCTTACAGCGTTTTGATCCTTCTCCTTCCCAGGCTGCATCATCCCAGTCTTTCCCCATCCATCCTGGGCCTTAGTTTGGTGCCCTCACCCTCTTTGCCCCCCCCCCACCCCCCCCATACTGGGAAGCCCCAAACTGGTCCCCATACCCAGATATTGGCCTCACCTGTGCTGCTGGAGAGGAGCAACCCCATATGGGGCTGATATCACAGGAGGGTTTGGCTTGGAAGGGACTTTACAGACCATCCAGTCCCACCCCTTGCCACAGGCAGGGACTCCTCCCACCAGACCAAGTTGCTCCAAGACCTGTCCAACCTGGCCTTGAACATCTCCAAGGATGGGACATCTACAGCTTCTCTGGGAAACCTCTTCCAGTATTTCACCCCTCTGGAAGACAGAGAAGCCCCTGTTAATTGGAGAAACTCCTGGAAGCTGGAGAAGCCCCAGAAGGTAGAGAAGCCTCTGGAAGTTGGATAAGCCCCAGGAAAAAGGAGAAGCCACGGAAAGCAGAGAAACGTCAGAAGGTGGAGAAGCCCCAGGAAGGTGCTCCCGTAGCTGACTCATGGACAACTTGCCCCCTCCTTTAAGACATCAAAATCCTCCTCCATGGCTGGTCCGGGTCCAGGAGGGTCTCCCACCCAGAGTTCCATGAGATTTCTTCCCAAAGCCCAAACTCACCTTCATCCAGGAGGCTCCAGCCCGTCCTGGTCCTGATGAGGAGCCATCCCGCCCTCCTCCAGCCTCCTTATCTGCTCACTCACATCTGGTGGGACCAAAAGAGATGGAAGGCTGGAGGCAGGAGGAACCATTGCATGCACCTGCCCTCTTCTCACTCCTCTGTGTGCGGCGAGGGCTGGGAGTTGTTTTCCCCACTGTTTTTAACCAGGAGGAGGAAGGTCCTCCTCTTCCTCCCTGTAAACCCAAGCTCCTTTGATCTTATCCCAGAGGTGTGTTTGCAACCAGGAGGTCGAAGACCCTCCTCTTCTTCTCCACGAAGCCAAGTGCTATGATCCTATCCCAGAGTTCGGTTGTGAAAAAAGCCACCAAAACGGGCCACTGGAGTCACCAAATGCCACCGGACTCCACGGATTGGAAATGGCTTTGGAGACTGAACAATCCCAGTGCCTACAGGAAAGGGTAAAATGGGATGGGCGTCTTCAATTCTGATCCTCCTCTGCTGTCCAACCACTGCATCCCAGAGCAATATAAGTTCATATATGGCCTGAAGCCCTGCTGAGAAGGGGCTGGGTCTCAGTGTAAGCAAAGGTGTACAAACAGGAAATCTCTCTCCTTCCTCTTTCTTCAAAATCGAAACCAACTTGGAGACTGAAGCTGCGACGGTCGCTCTTCATGGATGCCAGGAAACCTGTGGAAATGCTCCAGGATGAAGCCCGCTGCTCCATCTGCCTGGGGATATTCCAGGACCCCGTGTCCATCCACTGCGGGCACAGCTTTTGCCGGTTATGCATCACTGAGATCTGGGAAGGACTGACCACCAATTTCTCCTGCCCCCAGTGCAGGGAGACGATGGCACGAAAGATCCTCCGCCCCAACAGGGAGTTGGCCAACATGATTGAAGCAGCCAAGAGATTGAACCTGCCACCAGTCAGAGAGGTGGAAGGAGGGGAGAACTTGTGCGAGAAACACCAGGAACCCCTGAAGCTCTTCTGCCAAGACGACAAAAGGCTAATTTGCATGGTGTGCATCAGGTCTGAGGTGCACCGTGACCATTCTGTGGTTCCCGTGGACGAGGCTGCCCAGGAGTGCAAGGTGAGGGGGTTATGGGATTGTTGAGAGACAAAGGTCCAGAAGCTCCTGGTGTTGGTGCTGTTGATGGGTGAAGATCCCTGTACAGCCTTTGGCCTGTGGGATGAAACCCTGTGGACTCAACCATCCTTGGCTCTTGCTACCAACCCTTGAGGTGGAATTACCCGACCTGAGGGAGAGGTGGACGTAGGAGCACCACGCTCCTGGGGATCAAGGGGTCCTCTCCCCCAGGGTTCACCCACGAGCAGGGCCTTAGTGGAGAGTAGGAAACAGAGGCGTAGGATTTCTCCCCACCACAATCCCTCTGCAATACTCTATCAATGGCTCTGTTCTCGAGGTGTGGGTCTCTTGTCAAGGTCAGCTCTGCTGGAGATCAGGAGGAAAAGAGAAAAAAGAGATCCTCAGCCATTGTCCCAACCAAGAGCTCTCTCAAAGCACCTTGACCTTTGTGAAAATATGAAAAAAGAGGGGGAGATAATTGCCTTGAAACAGTCATGGGTGTCTCAAAACTCTGCCAACACTTACCCCAAGAGCCACCAAGAGTTCCCCGGTGCTTCTGCTGAGGCTGCCAGACCATGACGCCATCAGAAACAACTTCACACCCAACTGCACCTTCTGAAATCAGACCAAAAAGCGCTTCAATCTTCTGTGAAGGACACACAAGACAGACTCAAGGACCACACTGTAGGTGCCCATCAGTTTTCCTGGGCAGAGGGTGGGGGAAGAAAGAAGGAACATCTCCTCCTCCTCCTCTCCGGGCAGGGTGGGTGATGCCCAAGGGCTGTGGGGAAGGGAGAAGGGGTTTGTATCTTCCCCAAATGCCTGTTTTTAGTGGGTCCCACTAAGGCTTGGCCCACCCTTGACCCTTGATGCTCTTCTCCTGCTCTCTGCCGCCATTTCCCCACTTCGCTTTGCCCTTGGCAGGAGAGGACAGAAGCTGCAAAGCAGGAGATTGTGAGGACATATAGGAAGATGCACGAGTTCCTGGAGAAGCAGGAGTCCTCTCTTCTGGCCCAGCTGGAGCAGCTGGACACAGAGATAAGGAAAGCCCATGAAGAAATCCTCCAGAGGCTTTTGGAGGAGACAACGAGGCTGGGCACGCTGATTGGGGAGATGGAGAGGACCTCCCAGCAGCCAGACTGGCAGCTCCTGAAGGTGAGAGCCCAGGCTTTCCAAACTGGCTGGGAAGGCCCACCTTGAGCTTGGTCTCCAGCCCTCGCTTGTCTCCCCCAACCCACTCCAAGAGGGACTTCGTTAGAGGGGGACCCCGGTACTCCAAGGGGAGGTGTTCCATCTCACTGACTCTCTTCTTCTCTCTCCTCCAGGACATCAGAACCACCTTGAGCAGGTCTGTCGTCCTTCTCCTGTGCCCATGTCACCACCACAGAGCAGCGCTGTGGCAGGACTCTGGGAGAAAGCACTTGGGGACGGGTTGGCTCTTTTGCAGTACAGCCCTTGGACTTGACCGAGGCCACAGGGGGTTGGAAGGAGGGCTCTGCCTCTCTCTCCTGAATTAATGATGAATTTGGACACAGGCTGGCAGGAGCAGGGAGTGCTGAGAAAACACGGAGCAGCAAACCCCAACCAGGTGTAAATCCATCCCCTGTTCCCTTCCAGGGGCCAGAGGGAAACACTCTCCCAATCACTCGATATTTCCCCGGATCTGGAAAAGAAATTGTCTGATTTCACCGAGAGGAACCCAAATATCAAAGAACTTCTGGAGCAATGCCAAGGTACCGAGGGCAGGTCAGAAAGGCCATTGCCATCATGCTTCTTGGTGGGGAGGGATGGTGTGAAGCCACAGGAAGGAAACCCATCTTGGGTGCTGAATGAGGGGTTATTTCTTTCAAGATCCCACAAGGAGACAGAGAACGAGCAGTGAGCGTTGGTCTGATGTTCCCTGCCTGTCCTCCTCCTCTTCTCCTCTGCCTCCTCAAGTTTCCCGACATTCCCCCAAGCCTGTTCCTGACTCTCGGGACTTTTGCAGAAACCCACAATCAGACCAACTGATCTTTGTGTTTCTCACTTTTCTGTCTTCCCTCTAGATTTTCTGGAGTTCGAGCTTCCCTTGACAAGTAAGTGAACTGAACGTGTGCCCAACAAAGTCATAATATGAAATGAAAAATATGGTAAAAATCTCTGCTTCCCCCAAAGATTGACCTAGAGTGCTCTGCTGCCTCCTTTCCCCCTTCTCCCATTCTGGTCCCACCACCAGGCGATGCCTGGAGGGATCTCAACCATGTCAGAGGTGTTGGGAGGTTTCCTCCCAAATCTGCTGCCATGAGCCTGACTCTCTCTCCACCTCCAGCACAGATGACGCTGGACCCAGAAACGGCCAACACCAGGCTTTATCTCTCGGAAGACTGCAAGCTTGTGCAGTTTGAAGACTGTGAGCAGGACCTGCCCTCCAACCCGAGGAGGTTCACATTCATGCCATGTGTGCTGGGCTCAAGGGGCTTCACATCAGGATGGAACCGCTGGGATGTGGAGGTCCAAAGAGAAGGCGCGTGGGCCCTTGGGGTGGCCAAGGAGTCAGTTCCAAGGGACCGTTTATTGTGTCTGAAGCCCAATGAGGGGGTATGGGCTCTGTGTCATACCCAAAATGAGTACGTGGCTCTGACCTCTCCTTTTAACACCCGCTTGACTCTGCACAGTGTCCCCAAGTGGATACAAATCTGCTTGGACTATGAGAAAGGGAGGGTGCTTTTTTTTGATGCCGAGAGCAAAGAACGGATCTTTGCTTTTCCACCGGAGCCTTTCCAAGGGGAGAGAGTCTTCCCATGGTTCATGGTCAATAAGGACGCTCAACTCAAACTTCTTTCCTAAGTCACAGAACAAAAAAAACAACCCAACCCCCGAAAGCCATCAACTTATCCTTGGGAAATAAACCAGGGACGAGGTTTTGTCCAAATCCCAAAGGGACAGGAAAGGGTAGCAGTGTTCATATGCTTTTCCTTAGTGCAGAATGGGACCCATTCTGTGGCTTATATTCTATTTTGATCTTTCAATCGCTGTTTAATCACTAAATGGCTGTTACAGGGTGGCTGAAAACTTGCTCTGATGTGGACTTAAAATTATAAGTGCAATTCTAAACCATTTCTGCCTTGTGTGTGTGGCCTATTTATTTGGGGTTTTTTATTTCCTGTGGGGTTTTCTTTGGAAGTTGCTTAAGAGAACTGGAGGAAGGAAAAGTCATCCTGGTTCCTCTCCAAAACTGAGGGAGATGAGACCCAGGGGTCCAGGTGAAGGTCCATCAAGTCCTCCTCTTGTACCCAGATGTCCCTGCCTGGGAAAGCAGATAAGAGCAGGGTGAGGATGCCTATGGCCCCCAGGAGCTCTTTTTTCCCAGCCTCAATGGGTAATTAACCAATTAACATGGTGTAATGAGGGTCACTGGGGGGGATCTGATATTTGGCTCTGCCCTCTCTCTAACCCCATTGGGCCCTTGCAACATTTTGATCCTTCTCCTTTCCAGGCTGCATCATCCCAGGCTTTCCCCATCAGTCCTGGGGTTGAGTTTGGTGGCCTCACCCTCTTTGTGTCCCCCCCCCATACTGGGAAGCCCCAAACTGGTCCCTGTACTCACCTGTGCTGCTGGAGGGGAGCAACTCCATATGGGGTTGATATCCTAGGATGGTTTGGGTTGGAAGGGACCTTACAGACCATCCAATCCCATCCCCTTGCCACGGGCAGGGACACCTCCCACCAGACCAGGTTACTCAAAGCCCAATCCACCCTGGCCTTGAACATCACCAGGCTTGCAGCATCTACAACTTCTCTGGGCAACCTGGGCCGGTGTCTCACCCCCCTGGAAGTTGGGAAGCCCTTGGAAGCTGGGAAGGTGGAGAAGCCCCAGAAGTTTGAAAGGTCGACAAGCTCCCTGAAGTTGAAGCCCCAGGAAGGTGGAGAAGCCTCTGGAAGGTGGTCACATCACTGACTCAGGGACAACTTGCCCCCTCCCTCCAAGATCCCAAAGTCCTCTTCCATGGCTGATCCATGAGCTTTGTCACCAAAGCCCAAACTTACCTTTACCCAGGAAGCACCAGCCCGTCAAAGTCCCACTGAAGAGCTGTCCTGCCCTCCTCCAGCCTCCTTATCTCCTCCTTCACATCTTGTAAGACAAAAAGAGGTGGGAGGCTGGAGGCAGGCAGAACCATTGTGCACACCTTGCCCTCTTCTTAGTCCTCTGCGTGCAGCAAGGGCTTTTTATCTTGGGTTTCTCATTTCCTGTGGGGTTTCCTTTGGAAGTTGCTTAAAAGAACTGGAGGAAGGAAAAGTCATCCTCCTTTATTCTCTAAAACCCACTGGACAGGGACACGAGAAACTTGCGTTTTCTGCCCCCTCAAACCCCATAAGCCTGTGGGAATAGGGGTGGGGAAAAGTCAGCTGCAAGCCAGGAGCTGGAGTCCTTTGCAGCTGGGTCCCAGCCTGACTCCATGTGCGAAGGGGTGAGTCAGAATTGGGCAGAAAACCCTGGAAATAAGGCTGCTCCTTTTGGTGCTGGCTCAGGCTGAGCCCTGATGCGCTGGGCTTTAGTCAAGGAAGAGACTGGGCTTGTTCCTTGAGAAGATACAGCAGAGCCAGGGGTTCAGGTGAAGGTCCATCAAGTCCTTGTCTTGTCCCCATACCTCCCTGCCTGGGAAAGCAGATATGAGCAGGGCGAGGATGCCTTTGGCACCAGGAGCCCTCTTTTTCCAGCCTCAGTGGGAAATTAAAGAATTAAAAGGCTATAAGTGTTACCTGAATCAAAAGCTCTCAGAACCAAAAATGGTTTGGAGAGAAAATACTGCTTTATTCAATGTTGGGTGCTAAGAGGTAATCCCCAAATCTAGCACCCCTTACTGGCGACATTCACAAATTATTTACTCATTTACACAAGGATTCTCATTATTCCGCCTCCCTAATCTATAACTCCACCTGGGTTGACATGTTCATTAGTGTGATCCAAGAGCCCCTTTTGCACCCCCATATTGAGGCAAAACACTTTCCAGCAGCAACTTCTTGAGGGGTCAGGATTTGGGGGGCCCTAAGAGCCCCTGTGGGCAGGAAAAGCAGGGAGGGAATAGGGAAGGGCTCCAGACACCCACACTCCCACCACCAGCACCCCACGCTGCCAGGGTGGGGGGAGAAGACTCTGGGGTGGGGGAGAAGCCATCCCCTCCAAGGCTCCCAAAAGCAGGATGGAATGTGCCGAGGAGGGGAGGGCACAGGGCTGACACCAGCAAGAGAGAAACACACGTAGAAATACATCATATTTTAGTAAACATACAAAACAGAAAATACAATACAAGCAGAGAATAAGCCTCAGCATGATACAGACTTTCGCTCTCATGGCAGCCCCACAAGGGTCACTTCACCCCCTGACTCTGTGGCCCCTCTGCCCTGCCCAGGGCTTTCTGGGCTCAACCCATTGAGAAGCAGCCACTCCAGCTCCAAGGCCAAAGTTTAAAGAATGTTTTCAAGTTTTTTCTGTTCTCACATAGGCCAAATTGGCCCATGACAAGATGACAGATGCTCTCCCCCACCTCTCACTCCAAGGAGAGGAGGAGGAGAGCGAGCTGTGAGTTTAGAAGGAGCTACTACAATGAAAAAAAACCTGATTTAGAATATACAAGGTATACAAAACTCTATCAAGGTCCCAGGATGGCATCACCAGCAGCACTGGAAGTCTCAGACTGGACTCAACCATGGACAGGAACCACATTCCCCGTCTGGAGTCAGGAATGTCTAGATTGGGATCAAAGACAGATGAACAGGAAGGATCCTCCTCAGATTGTCAGCCATTGCAGAAAGAGCTGACCCTTTGGTCCCTCAGCTTTTGTACTGACGAGGAGCAGATGGGATGGAACATCCTCTTGGTCAGTTTTGGGGCCCCCATCCTGTACCCTCCTCCCCATAGGAGCTATCCCTCCATGCTCTTCTGCATCCAACGGGGCAAATCACAGAGTTACCTTGGTTGTCACAGCAGCAATCATCACCACAGCTCAAAAGAAGCTCTGTGTGAACCTCCAAAAGGAGAAACCCACTCATCGCACAACCCCAAGTCCTGATGCAGGCAGGGACATGTCACCTCCCGCATCTCCCCTTCCCACAGGTTCATCTCAGGAGAGCTGGCAGCGAGTTTGTGAGACCTCAGTCCTCCCCTGGGAGTGTGGGGAGACAAAAGGGTGCCATTGCCCAGGGACTTCTTCCTTCAGGCTCCCTCTGGACTGGACTGTTTGTGCTGCTGGACCTTCTAATTAAATAGTTGCTTCAGAAAACGTGACACCTGAGACTCTGCTGCAGGAAACTGAGGGTTAAGCTGTAGGAAGCTGAGGATTAAGCTCAACTGGGAGTGTGTGTGTGTTTGTGTAGCTCTTCTCAGGGGGCAGATAAGGTAACAGAGATAAGGCTTGTGACTGGGAGTAGATCAAATAACAAAGGCCCCCGTTGCTGAGGAACAGAGGAGGTTTTTAACCCTTTCCTGGGATCCTGCCACAGGAGAGGTTTGTTGTTAAAGAGGAGACATCAATCAGCCACTGATGATGCTGATGAGGCAGAGGTTCTCAAGCTTTCTTCACCTCCCTCTTCACAGCATCCCAGGTCCCAGGAAAAAACTGGAGTAAAAGCCATGGCCATTCTCAGCGACATCCCCCAAGCCTTGCCTGTTCTGAGAAAGGGTTGTCCCCAACCCACCCCCATTTTGGCCTGGGGGGCGTTCCTGAGCTGAGGCTGTGGCACCATCCAGGGAGAGCTGGCCAGGCTGGAGAGATGGGCAGAGAGGGACCTCATGAATTTTTACCTCGGGAAGAGCAACCCCTGGCACCAGTACAGGTTGGGGGTTGACCTGCTGAGAAGAAACTGGGAGTCCTGGGGGACACCAAGTTGCCCAAGAGCCAGTGCTCACCAGTGGGACATTTCAGGGGTTAATGCCTGCTTTTGGCTACAGCCCTTGTAAACACATTTCAGCTGCACCGGAAGTGCAGCGGGTGCCTCTGGAAGAGCAGAAGAAACTATTCATTTCTATTTTTACTGCTGAGAAAACATGGTTTGAAATCCTCCTTCAGCGAAACCTCACGTAGCTGCCGACAGCTCTGCCCTGCCTCGGTTTCCCCAGCCCTGGGTGCCCAGAGGGGCTTTGGCATCCAAATAAGAGATGACTCTGGGAAGAAAAGAACAAAATCCCTCCCCACATCCAGAGAGCGGTCGGTTCCCCCCCATCCCCACTCCACCCCGTGTCCCAGGTTCTCCCCCTTTCCCCCCCTAATTCTCACCCCACAACCAGGGTGGGCTTGGGCCCCATAGGGCCCCACTGCTGCTCAGATCCCCCCCCTTCTCTGAGCTCGGGGGTCCCCCACTGCCTTTGACCCCGGGGCTCCCTCGGGCTGTGCTGGGTTCCTGGGAGAGTCTGATCCCACCGGGGCTTTTGCTGGGTGGGAGGTTCCGCTCCAGGACCCCCTCTGTACAGTCCCCATCTCTCTGCAGATGCTGGAGCTTCTGTTCTCTGGGGGAGGTTTGGGGAGGAAGCAGTTGTGCTTTTCTGGCAGGGAAACAGAATTTTTTTTCATAAACAGCTGAAAAGCTCAGTTTTGGATCTCTGCCCAGCTCTTGGCAGAGCTCTGGAGGGAGCAGCCCAGTGCCCTTGTGCAGACGGAGCCTCTCTGCCCGCTCTCCTGGGCCGGGCGGTGGCATTTCCCTGCCGGGATGGAGAGCTGGGGCTCCAGCAGCTGCTGGGGGTTGGGGTTTCTGCCTTGGCTGGTGGAGCCCGGGGTGCAGGGTTCAGCTGGAGGAGTTGGGCTGTAGGGAAATGCAAAGACTTGTCTTTCTTCATCACTTTATCTGCCTTTTTTCTTCCTTAATCAGTCTCTCAGTGTTGTTTACCCTGGCTTTTGCAGGGAGGATGGTGGCCAAGGGTGGCTCCTAGAGCATTTTGAGGCTGTTTGTCCCCTCCAGTTGCTGGGAACAGGATGCAGCGTTCCCGGGGGGGGGGAACAGGACAGGGGTGCGTGGGGATTGACTTTCTGAGCCTGGGTGTCACCCTGTGGACCCTGCTTATCCGTTACTGGTGCCAGCTAAAAGAATTAACCATTCTGATTGCCTGAGTCACATTCTCTGCTCTCTCCCAGCACAACAATGAGAGCAGCAGTGGAATGACTGGATCCAAGCCAGGCTTGGACCAGGCAAGATCCTGTTGCTTGCGAGTGAAGTGGTTTCACTTTTGAGAGCGCCATGGTGGTGAAGAAGGGGTTCTGTTGCAGCAATGGGAGTGTTAAGAAGCCCCCAGTGTGTGTCCTGGTGGTGTCTGTGCTGGTGGCTCTGGTCCTGGCTCTGGCCGTGGCTGTTGCTGTGCTCTCAGGTAAGGGAGGAGCGGCTGCCTCCTTCCCTGCCCCACGGAGCTGTGTCCCCTGGTCCCTGCGCAGCCCAATCCTCTGCCCTTCTCCCCTTCCCTCTCCAGCAAGAACATGTGGAGGGGATCCAGCTGTGCCTGTGGCTCCGGTGCTGGCGTGTCCTGATGGCTGGGTCGGGTACCACAATGTCTGCTACTACCTCTCGAGGGACCAGGGGAGCTGGGAGTGGAGCCAGGAGTCATGGAGAAAGGACCTTCTCCATGGTAGGAACTCAGAGCTTCAGCTCTTCTGGTCTCCTGGGGATGTTCTTCCCTCTGCTGCTGCTTTGGTTCCTCCTGGTCTCAGCAGAAACTCTCTGCCAGCCCTCATAAAATGACCCTGCAAGAAGGGGAGATGTGGGAGGTGACATGTTCCTGCCTGGATCAGGAACCTTAGGTTGTGCAATGAGTGTAGATTTCTCCTTTTGTGGCCACCCTGGAGCTCTTCTTGATTCTTTCACAAATCACGCAGACCTTCTTTTGAACTGTCCTCTTTAACAACATACCTCTCTTGTAGCAGGACTCCAGGAAAGGGTTAACAACCTTGTCTGTTCCCCAGTAACAGCGGCCTTTGGTTTTTTATCTACTGCCAGAAAATGCCTTAGCTCTGCAGGAAACCAAAAGTTGAGAAGAACCACAGGCAGTTCTTGTCAAGCTTAACCTCAGTTTCCTGCAGCAGAGTCTCAGGTGTCACGTTTTCTGAAGCAACTATTTAATTAGAAGGTCCAGCAGCACAAACAATCCAGTCCAGAGGGAGCCTGAAGGAAGAAGTCCCTGGGCAATGGCACCCTTTTGGTCTCTCCACACTCTCTCAGGGGAGGACTGAGGTCTCACAAACTCGCTGCCAGCTCTCCTGAGATGAACCTGTGGGAAGGGGAGATGCGGGAGGTGACATGTCCCTGCCTGCATCAGGACTTGGGGTTGTGCGATGAGTGGGTTTCTCCTTTTGGAGGTTCACACAGAGCTTCTTTTGAGCTGTGGTGATGATTGCTGCTGTGACAACCAAGGTAACTCTGTGATTTGCCCCGTTGGAGGGTTGAACACAGAAAAGCGTAGAGGGGTCACGTCTCTCCCCTCGCGTAGAGAGGAGGAGGGTACAGGATGGGGGCTGCAAAACTGACTAAGGGGGGGTTCCATCCCATCTGCCCCACGCTCAGTAGAAAAGCCGAGGGACCAAAGGGTCAGCTCTTTCTTCAATGGCTGACAATCTGAGGAGGACCCTGTCTGTTCGTCTGTCTTTGATCCCAATCCGTGTGTTCCTGACTCTAGATGGGGAATCTAGTTCCCATTTTTGGCTGAGTCCAGTCTGGGACTTCCCCAGTGCCTGCGGCGATACCATCCTGGGACCTTGATAGAGTTTTGTGTACATTGTATATATCTATTTCCTTTTTTTTTTTTTTCATTGAAGTAGTTGCTTCTAAACTCACAGCTCGCTCTCCTCCTCCTCTCCTTGGAGTGAGAGGTGGGGGAGAGCATCTGTCATCTTGCCATTGGCCAATTTGGCCTATGTGAGAAGAGACAAAACTTGAAAATGTTCTTTAAACTTTGGCCTTGGAGCTGGAGTAGCTGTTCCCAGATGAGGTGGTCACAGAAAGCCCTGGGCAGGGCAGAGGGGCCACAGAGTCGGGGGGTGAAGTGGTCCTTGTGGGGCTGCCATGAGAGTGAGAGTCTGTATCATGCTGAGGCTTATTCTCTGCTTGTATTGTATTTTCTGTTTTTTATGTTTACTAAAATATGATGTATTTCTATGTGTGTTTCCCTCCTGCTGGTGTCAGCCCTGTCCCCTCCCCTCTTTGCCCCCGGAGGCATGTTCCATCCTGATTTTGGGAGCCTTGGAGGAGGCAGCTTCCCCCCCAAGGTCTTCTCCCTCCAGCCCTGGCAGCGTGGGGTGCTGACAGTGGGAGAAGAGGTGTCTGGAGCCCTTCCCCATCCCCCTGTGTTTTCTACCCATGGGGGCTCTTAGGGCCCCCCAAATCCTGACCCCTCAAGAAGTTGTTGCTGGGAAGTGTTTTGCCTCAATATGGGGGTGCAAAAGGGGCTCTTGGGTCACACTTATGAAGATGTCAGCCCAGGTGGAATCATGGATTAGGGATGCTGAATAAAATGAATATTTTGTGTATAAATAATGGGTGAGTGTGCATGGGAAATGGGTGCAAGCTTTATGGATTTCCACTGAGAACCTGACTTTTAATTAAGCAATATCTCCTCCCTAAACAGCTTCTGTTTTCAAAAGCTTTGGTTTCAGGTAACAATTATACCCTTTTAATTGTTTAACATTACCATTAAATCTCTGTGCAGTGGGTTTTAGATGGGAATGAGGATGACTTTTCCTTCCTCCAGTTCTCTTAAGCAACTTCCAAAGAAAAACCTCAGAAAATAAAATCCCACAATAAAAAGCACACATACAAGGCAGAAATGACTTAGAATTGCACTTTTACTTTTAACTCCCCGTCAGAGCAAGTTTGCAGGCACCCAGAAACAGCCATTTAGTGACTGAAAGATCAAAATACAGTTGAAGGCATAGAAAAGCTCCTATTTTGCACTAAAGGAAAGGAACATGAACACTGCTACCCTTTCCTGTCCCTTGCGTGGAACTAGGAAAATACTCAGCCCCTGGTTTATTTCCCAAAGGTAAGATGATGACTTTGGGGTTTTTTTGTCCTGTACTTTAGGGAAGAAGTTTGAGTTGAGCACCCTCTACCACCATGAACCACGGGAAGACTCTCTCCCCTTGGAAAGATGCCTGAGGAAAAGCAAAGATCCGTTCTTTGCTCTCAGCATCAAAAACCACCACCCTCCCTTCCTCATAGTCCAAGCAGATTCGTATCCGCTTGGGGACACTGCGTAGAGTCAAAGGGATGGCATCAGGAGAGGTCATAGCCGTGTACTCATTTTGGATATGACACAGAGCCCATACCCCCTTTTCAGGATCCAGGCACAACACATGGTCCCTTGGAACCGACTCCTTGACCACCCCGATGGCCCACACGCCTTCTCTGAGGACCTCCACGTCCCAGCGGTGCCCCCCCGATGTGAAGCCCCTCGAGCCCAGCAGGCAAGGATCAAATTTGAACCTTCCCGGGTTGGAGGGCAGGTCCTGACCACAGGGTTCCCACCGCACGAGCTTGCAGTCTTCTGAGAGGTAAAGCCTGGCGTTGGCCGTCTCTGAGTCCAGCGTCATCTGTGCTGGAGGTGGAGAGAGAGTCAGGCTCATTGCAGCAGATTTGGGGGGAAATGGGGCTTTTTCTCTCCCCTCCCTCTGACCCGCTTGGAACGCCTCCAGGCATCGTCTGGTGGTGGGACCAGGGTGGGAGAAGGGGGAAAGGAGGCAGCAGAGCACTTTAGGTCAATCTTTGGGGGCAACAGAGCTTCTTTTACCATATTTTTGATTTCACATTATGCCTTGGTTGGGCACGTGTTGGGATCACTTACTTGTCAAAGGAACCTCGAACTCCAGGAAATCTAGAGGGAAGAGAGAAATGGGAGAAACACAAAGATCAGTTGGTCTGATTGTGGGTTTCTGCAAAAGTCCCGAGAGTCAGGAACAGGCTTGGGGGAAGGTCGAGAAACTTGAGGAGGCAGAGGAGAAGAGGAGGAGGACAGGCAGGGAACATCAGACCAACGCTCGCTGCTCGTTCTCTGTCTCATTGTGGGATCTTGAAAGAAATAACCCCTCATTCAGCACCCAGGATGCCTTTCTTTCCCCTGGCTTCACTCCATCCCTCCCCACCAAGAAGCAATTGGCCTTTCTGGACTTGCCCTCGCTACCTTGGAATTTCTCCAGAAGTTCCTTGATGTCTGGGTTCCTCTCAGTGAAGTCAGAAAATTTCTTTTCCAGCTCCGGGGAAATCTCGAGTGAGTGGGAGAGCGTTTCCCTCTGGCCCCTGGAAGGGAAGAGGGGATGGATTTACACCTGGTTGGGGTTTGCTGCTCCGTGTTTTCTCAGCACTCCCTGCTCCTGCCAGCCCGTGTCCAAATTCATCATTAATTCAGGACAGAGAGGCAGAGCCCTCCTTCCAACCCCCTGTGGCCTCGGTCAAGTCCAAGGGCTGTACTGCAGAAGAGCCAACCCGTCCCCAAGTGCTTTCTCCCTGTGTCCTGCCACAGAGCTACTCTGTGGTGGTGACATGGTGACAGGAGAAGGACCACAGACCTGCTCAAGGTGGTTCTGATGTCCTGGAGGAGAGAGAAGAAGAGACTCAGTGAGATGGAACACCTCCCCTTGGAGTACCGGGGTCCCACTCTAAGGAGGTCCCTCTTGGAGCGGGTTGGGGGAGACAAGCGAGGGCTGGAGACCAAGCTCAAGGTGGGCCTTCCCAGCCAGGTTGGAAAGCCTGGGCTCTCACCTTCAGGAGCTCCCAGTCTGGCTGCTGGTAGGTCCTCTCCATCTCCCCAATCAACGTGCCCAGCCTCGTCGTCTCCTCCAAAAGCCTCTGGAGGATTTCTTCATGGGCTTTCCTTATCTCTGTGTCCAGCTGCTCCAGCTGGGCCAGAAGAGAGGACTCCTCCTTGTCCAGGAACTCATGTAATTTCCTATATGTCCTCACAATCTCCTGCTTTGCAGCTTCTGTCCTCTCCTGCCAAGGGCAAGCAGAAGTAAAGAAATGGCAGCAGAGAGCAGAAGAGCATCAAGGGTCAAGGGTGGGCCATGCCTTAGTGGGAGCCACCAAGAAGAGGCATTTGGGGAAGATACAAACCCCCCCTCCCTTCCCCACAGCCCTTGAGCATCACCCACCCCTGCGGGAGAGGAGGAGGAGGAGGAGATGTTCCTCCTTTCTTCCCCCACTCTCTGCCCAGGAAAACTGATGGGCACCTACAGTGTGGTCCTTGAGTCTGTCTTCTCTGTCCTTCATGGAAGATTGAAGCGCCTCTTGCTCTGATTTCAAAATGTAAAGTTGGATCTGAATTTGTTTCTGAGAGGAAAGAAAGAAAGAAAGAAAGAAGTCCCCTGTGGAATGGCATCGTGGTCTGGCAACCTCAGCAGAAGCACCGGGGAACTCTTGGTGGCTCTTGGGGTAAGTGTTGGCAAATGTTTGGGACCCCCATGACTATTTCAAGATTATTAACCTTCCCCCTTTTTTATTCTTTCTTCTTTTTCTATTTTCACAAAGTTCAAGGCTCTTTCAGGGAGCTGTGGGGTGGGAGAAGGGCTGAGGATCTTTTTTTCTCCTTTCCTCCTGATCTTCAGCAGAGCTGACTTTGATAAGGGACCCCCACCCCTAGAGGACAGAGCCATTGATGGAGTTTTGCAGAGGGATTCTGGTGGGGAGAAAACCTACGCCTCTGTTTCCTACCCTCCCCTAAGCCGTTGCTCGTGGCTGAACCCTGGGGGAGAGGACCCCTTGGTCCCCAAGATCGTGCTGCTCCTACGTGCACATCTTCCTCAGGGCAGGCAATGCCACCTCATGAGGTAGGATCAAGAGCCAAGGATGGGTGAGTCCACAGGGGATTTATCCCACAGGCCAAAGGCTCTACAGGGATCTCCACCCATCAACAAACAGCACCAACACCAGGAGCTTCTGGACCTTTGTGCCTCAACACACCCATAACCCCCTCACCTTGTACTGCTGGGCAGCCTCGTCCATGGGAACCACAAAATGGTTACGGTGCACCTCGGACCTGTCGCACACCACGCAGATAAGCCTTTTGTCATCTTGGCAGAAGAGCTTCAAGGGTTCCTGATGTTTCTCGCACAAGTTCTCCCCTCCTTCCACCTCTCTGTCTCGTTGAAGAGTCAATCTCTTGGCTGCTTCAATCATGTTGGCCAACTCCCTGTTGGGACGGAGGCTTTTCCGTGACTCCCTCTCCTTGCACAGGGGGCAGGAGAAGTCGGTGGTCAGTCCTTCCCACATCTCAGTGATGCACAACCGGCAAAAGCTGTGCCCGCAGTGGATGAACACGGGGTCCTGGAATATTTCTCGGCAGATGGAGCAGCGGGCTTCATCCCGGAGGATTTCCACAGGTTTCCTGGCTGCCATGAAGAGTGACAGTCGCAGCTTCAGTCTCCAAATTTGTTTCGATTTTGAAGTAACAGGAAGAAGAGAGATTTCCTGTTTCAACACCATTGGTTACGCTGAGACCCAGACCATTCCAAGCAGGGCTTCAGGTAATACATTTAGTGGATGAACACGGGGTCCTGGAATATTTCTCGGCAGATGGAGCAGCGGGCTTCATCCCGGAGGATTTCCACAGGTTTCCTGGCTGCCATGAAGAGTGACAGTCGCAGCTTCAGTCTCCAAATTTGTTTCGATTTTGAAGTAACAGGAAGAAGAGAGATTTCCTGTTTCAACACCATTGGTTACGCTGAGACCCAGACCATTCCAAGCAGGGCTTCAGGTAATACATTTACTTATATTGCTCTGGGAAGTAGCGGTTGGACAGCTGAGGAGGAAGGGAATTGGAGACGTCCATCCCATTTTCACCCTTTCCTGGAGGCGCTGAGATCTTTCAGTCTCCAAAGCCACTTCTAATCCGTGGAGTCCGGTGAGATTTGGTGATTCAACAGCAGCTGGAAGAGGAGTTTCAGGCCCTGGTGGCACCTCAGAGAAGTTGTGGTGCAGCTGCGGGTGGGAGACAAGCAGTGGCTGAAACTGCCTCTGAGATGTCATGGGTGACAGGACCTGTCTAGGGCTTGGGAAGGACCTCAGCACCCTTCAGGACAGCCTCTGTAGGGCTATTTGAAGACTCTCATTATACCTTTTTAATTGGTTAGTTACACATTGAGGCTGGGAAAAGAGGGCTCCTGGGGCCAAAGGCATCCTCGCCCTACTCTTATCTGCTTTCCTAGGAAGGATCGTCTGGGCATGAGGACTTGATGGACCTTCATCTGAACCCCTGGCTCTGCTGTATCTTCTCAAGGAACAAGCCCACTCTCTTCCTTGACTAAAGCCCAGCACATCAGGGCTCACCCTGAGCCAGCACCAAAAGGAACAGCCCCATTTCCAGGGGTTTCTGACCAATTATGACTCCCTCTTTGCACATGGAGTCAGGCTGGGACCCAGCTGCAAAGGACTCCAGCTCCTGGCTTGCAGCTGACTTTTCCCCAACTTCTGTTCCCACGGACTTGCGGGGTTTGAGGGGGCAGAAAATGCAGGTTTCTCATCTCCCTGTGCAGTGTGTTTTGGAGAGGAACCAGGATGACTTTTCCTTCCTCCAGTTCCCTTAAGCAACTTCCAAAGAAAACCCGCAGGAAATAAAAACCAAAGAAAAGCACACACACAAGAGGGAAAGAACTTAGAATTGCACTTTTACTTTTAACTCCATCATCAGGGCAAGCTTGCACGCACCCAGCAACAGCCATTTAGTGACTGAAAGTTTAAAATACAGTTTAAGGCACAGAAATGCTTCCATTTTGCACTAAAGGAAAGGAACCTGAAGAACGCTAGCCTCTACTGTATCTTTGGTGGCACAGAACAAAACCCAACCCCTGGATTCTTTCCCAAGGGTAAGTCAGCAGCTTTGGGGTTTTTTTGTTCTGTGCTTTAGGAGAGAAGTTTGAGTTGAGCATCCCCCTTCACCGTGAACCACGGGAAGACTCTCTCCCCTTGGAAAGATGCTGGTGGAAAAGCAAAGATCTGTTCTTTGCTCAGGGCATAAAAAAACACCACCCTCCCTTTCTCATAGTCCAAGCAGATTCGTATCCGCTTTTGGACCTTGCGTAGAGTCAAGAGGGTGTCATAAGGAGAGGTCAGAGCCACGTAACCATTCTTATTATGACACAGGGCCCATACACCCTCATCGGGCTTCAGGCGCAACCAACAGTCCCTTGGCACTGATTCCTTGGCCACCCCAATGGCCCACACACCTTCTCTGTGGACCTCCACATCCCAGTGGTGGCACCCCCATGTGAAGCCCCTCGAGCCCAGCACACACTCAAAAACATTGAACCTCCTCGGGTTGAAGAGCAGGTCTTGCTCACAGTCTTTCCACCACAGGAGCTTGCAGTCTTCCGAGAGATAAAGTCTGGCGCTGGCTGTCTCCGGATCCAGCGTCATCTGTGCTGGAGATGGAGAGAGAGTCAGGCTCATTGCAGAAGATCTAGAGGGCAAAGGTTTTTTTCTCTACCCTCCCATCCCTCCCACCTAGTTTGCACCCCTCCAGACATCGCCTGGTGGTGGGACCATGATAGGAGAAGGGGGGAAGAAGGCAGCAGAGAACTTCAGGTCAATCTTTGCGGGCAGCAGAGCTTCTTTTACCATCTTTTTTGATGGCTTGGTTGGGCACACATTCGGCTCACTTACTTGTCAACAGAAGATCAAGATTAAGTAAACCTAGACGAAAGAGAAAAATGTGAGAGGCAGAAAGATCAGTTGGTCTGATTGTGGGTTTCTGCAAAAGTCCCGAGAGTCAGGAACAGGCTTGGGGGAAGGTCGAGCAACTTGAGGAGGCAGAGGAGAAGAGGAGGACAGGCAGGGAACATCAAACCAACGCTCGCTGCTCGTTCTCTGTCTCCTTGTGGGATCTTGAAAGAAATAACCCCTCATTCAGCACCCAGGATGCGTTTCTATCTCCTGGCTTCACTCCATCCCTCCCCACCAAGAAGCATGATGGCATTGCCCTTTCTGGACCTGCTCTCAGTACCTGGAACTTTCACAAGAGCCTCCCTGATGGCTGCAGATTCCTCTGTGAAATCAGAGAATTTCTTTTCCAGCTCCGGGGAAATCTGGAGTGAGTGGGAGAGCGTTTCCCTCTGGCCCCTGGAAGGGAAGAGAGGATGGATTTACACCTGGTTGGACTTTGCTGCTCCGTCTTTTCTCAGCACTCCCTGCTCCTGCCTCCTGCCAGCCCGTGTCCAAGTTCATCATTAATTCAGGAGAGAGAGGCAGAGCCCTCCTTCCAACCCCCTGTGGCCTCGGTCAAGTCCAAGGGCTGAACTGCAGAAGAGCCAACCCGTCCCCAAGTGCTTTCTCCCCGTGTCCTGCCACAGAGCTGCTCTGTGGTGGTGACATGGTGACAGGAGAAGGACGACAGACCTGCTCCAGGTGATTCTGATGTCCTGGAGGAGAGAGAAAAAGAGACTCAGTGAGATGGAACACCTCCCCTTGGAGTACCGGGGTCCCACTCTAAGGAAGTCCCTCTTGGAGTGGGTTGGGGGAGACAAGCGAGGGCTGGAGACCAAGCTCAAGGTGGGCCTTCCCAGCCAGGTTGGAAAGCCTGGGCTCTCACCTTCAGGAGCTCTCAGTCTGGCTGCTGGGAGGTCCTCTCCATCTCCCCAATCAGCGTGCCCAGCCTCGTCGTCTCCTCCAAAAGACCCTGGAGGATTTCTTCATGGGCTTTTGTTATCTCTGTGTCCAGCTGCTCCAGCTCAGCCAGAAGAGAAGACTCCTGCTTCTCCAGGAACTCGTGCAGCTTCCTATATGTCCTCACAATCTCCTGCTTTGCAGCTTCTGTCCTCTCCTGCCAAGGGCAAGCCCAAGCAGGGAAAGGGCAGCAGAGAGCAGAAGAGCATCAAGGGTCAAGGGTGGGCCATGCCTTCGTGGGAGCCACCAAGAAGAGGCATTTGGGGAAGATACAAACCCCCTCTCCCTTCCCCACAGCCCCTGAGCATCACCCACCCCTGTGGGAGAGGAAGAGGAGGAGATGTTCCTCCTTTCTTCCCCCACCCTCTGCCCAGGAAAACTGATGGGCACCTACAGTGTGGTCCTTGAGTCTGTCTTCTCTGTCCTTGACGGAAGATTGAAGCGCCTCTTGCTCTGATTTCAGAAGGTGCAGCTGGGTCTCAATTTGTTTCTGAGAGGAAAGAAAGAAAGAAGTCCCCTGTGGAATGGCATCGTGGTCTGGCAGCCTCAGCAGAAGCAATGGGGAATTCTTGGGGTGTTGGCAGAGTTTGGGGACTCCAATGACTGTTTCAAGATGATTAATCTCTGCCCTTTTCCTTTTTTTTTCTGTTTTCTATTTTGATCCAGGTCAAGGAGTTTTCAGGGAGGTGTGGGTTAGGAGAAGGGCTGAAGATCTCTTTCTCTCTTTTCTGACTGATCTTCAGCGGACCTGACCTTGATAAGGGACCTGGACCCCGGAGGACAGAGCCATTGATTGAGTTTTGCAGAGGGATTGTGGTGGGGAGAAATCCTACACCTCTGGTCCCTACCCTCCCCTAAGGCCCTGCTCATGTCTGAACCCTGGGGGAAAGGACCCCTCGGTCCCCAAGATCGTGGTGCTCCTATGTCCACGTTTTCCTCAGGGCAGGCAATGCCACCTCAAGAGATCACATCAAGAGCCAAGGATGGGTGAGTCCACAGGGGATTTATCCCACAGGCCAAAGGCTCTACAGGGATCTCCACCCATCAAGAGCACCAACACCAGGAGCTTCTGGACCTTTGTCCAGAAACACCCATAAACCCATTCACCTTGTACTCTTGGGCAGCCTCATCCATGGGAACCACAAAGTGGTCACGGTGCACCTTGGACCTGTCACACACCACGCAGATAAGCCTTTTGTCGTCTTGGCAGAAGAGCTTCAGGGGTTCCTGGTGCTCCTCGCACAAGTTCTCCCCTCCTTCCACCTCTCTGACAGGTTGCAGGTTCAAGCTCTTGGCTGCTTCAATCACGTTGGCCAACTCCCTGTTGGGACGGAGTCTCTTCCGGGACACTGTCTTCCTGCACTGGGGGCAGGAGAAATTGGTGGTCCGTCCTTCCCAGGTCCGAGTGATGCACGACCGGCAAAAACTGTGCCCACAGGAGATGGACACGGGGTCCTGGAATATTTCCAGGCAGATGGAGCAGCAGGCTTCATCCCGGAGGATTTCCAGAGGCGTCCTGGCTGCCATGAAGAGCAACTGACCGAGATCCTTTCCCTGTCTGGTGATCAGAAAAATGAGAGATTTCTCTTCCTGATTCTACACCATTGGTTACGCTGAGACCCAGCCCCTTCCCAGCAGGCTTCATGTAATACATTAACTTATACTGCTCCGGGAAGTAATGGTTGAACAGTTGAGGAGGACCAGAATAGGAGACACCTTGCTCGTCCCACCCTTGGATTATTTTATTTGTTATAGAGGCAGCTGCTTTAATCCAAAAAGGAGCCTGAGCAGACGGGATATCACTTTATGATTGGGCCAAAAAAAAGCTGGGAGAGAGGAAAAGAGGGGAAAAATCCTCCCGGGGGGGGGAGAGGGGGGGTGTGGTTCTGCCTCCATCCCCCTTTTTTTGCTTGGCGGAGGACCTCCCATTTCCCCCCCACATTTAACTGCTGCTGGAGGGAGAAGCAGAAGGTAAACAATTCCATAATTAAATCAGTTTTGAGCTAGTTCGTGTTGATGGTGCTGGGGTTGGGGTGGGTCCGTTTCCTCTGGGTTTTATTTTCTGCTTGTTTTCATTTATAAATTTTTCCTTTATTTTTATTTTCTGGTTGTTGTATTGTCCGGCTTCACCTCTGGCTGAGGATTTATTTCATTCTTTTTTTTTTCGGGGGGGAGGGGGCTGAAATACCATCTAAAGAGCTTTATATTTTTCTGTAGGAGACAAGAGATGGGACGGGAGAAGAGATTCTTATCCCAGGGACACCCCCCCACCCCAAGAAGAAGGACAATCCGTGGGTGTCTTTCTGCCTCCAGCTACTGCCGTGGACTGAAAAACCTTGAGCTGGTGGGGAACTGGGAGAACTGGGATTTGGTGGGTTTCCAGACTTTGGCACCCAGCACCTTTCCCTGCTGAGTTCTGGGGCCATGAGCCTTAAAAACCTTCAGGAAAAAGAGGGTGGGAATTTTCAGCCAAAGCAGGCTTTGAGCTTAATTCTCAAATTCCAGCAATTTCTGGGTTAAATCTGAGGTAGGAGGGAAATTCTGGACTAAAAAGTGGATTTTTCTCTCTTTTTGGTGGCTGAAAAGTGGACTTTTCTTCTTTTTTGGTAATTGAAAAGTGGATTTTTCTCTTTATGCTGCAGTTTTCAGATTTTGCTGGGGCAGGATACTGGATTTTTTGCCCTAGAGCATTAGACAGAAACATTTTTTATTTATATCCATGTGCCCTTTCCAGATATTTCTTCACCTGGCAATGATGTTTCCCCCTCCCAAGACCATGAACGAGAACAATATTCTCCTTTTAATATTTTTAACATGCTTTTTGGGACACAAAGTTCTTTATTTTACCATAAGCCCAGTGTATTTGGGAGTATTTTCCTTCCATCCCCACTTATTATTTACTTTTTTTAACTTTTCCTCCATCACCTGCTGTTTTACCCCAAACCTCAGCAAGCTCCAGGGCAGGAATAATTTGTTTGGGTGTTGGGGACACGCAAAAACGCTCCCTCCATGAAACTCTTTCAAAAATCAAAGCAATTGAGGAGAAAAAAATTAAAATATCCTTTTTGGTTCTTACTTTTCTAACATAAAGTTTGGGAAATTCTCGCTGCAAAATGAGGAAGGTCAAAGATGCGGGTGTTTTAATTTGAATTTTGCTGTTGTTAATAAACAAATGCAGCTGGAAACCATCATATCAGGCTTTATATTTATACTTTTACTAAATATAGAAGCTCTTTGTCAGAGGACAAAGGGTTTACTGCTATTGGGTTTACTGCTTTGCATTGGTGGATTCTTACCCTGTTTATTTGAGTATTTTCACTGAATTTCACTGAATTTTTAGAGTTGGAAGGGACCACAGAGATCATCTAGTCCAACTCCCCTGCTGAAGCAGGATTGCCCAGAGCTTGTCAGAGCATGTTACTCAGGAGCATCCAGGAGGGTCTTGAAAATCTCCAAAGAAGGGGACTCCACAACCTCCCTGGGCAGCCTGTTCCAGGGCTCTGCCACCCTCACTGTGAAGAAGTTTTTTCTCATATTTGAGTGGAACCTCTTATGTCCCAACTTGTGCCCGTTGCCCCTCGTCCTCTCACTGGGAACCACTGAAAAGAGTCTGGCTCCCTCCTCCTTCAACCCACCCTTGAGATACTTGTCAGCATTAATAAGGTCTCCCCTCAGCCTTCTCTTCTCCAGACTAAAGAGTCCCAGCTCTCTCAGTCTCTCCTCATAAGGGAGATGCTCCAATCCTTGAATCATCTTTGTTGCCCTTCGCTGGACTCTTTCCAGTAGTTCCCTGTCCCTCTTGAACTGGGGAGCCCAGAACTGGATGCAGGATTCCGGTTGTGGCCTCACCAGTGCAGAGTAGAGGGGGAGAATGACTTCCCTTGACCTGCTGGCCACACTCTTCCCTCTGCAGCCCAGGATCCCGTTGGCCTTCCTGGCCACAAGAGCACACTGCTTGCTCATTGTCATTTTGCTGTCCACCAGGACCCCTAGATCTTTCTCTTCAGAAGTTGTCTCCAGCAGATCCACCCCTAACCTGTATTGGTGCCTGACATTCTTCTTCCCCAGGTGCAGGACCCTACACTTTTCCCTGTTGAACCTCATGAGGTTCTTCCTTGCCCAGCTCTCCAGCCTGTCCAGGCCACACTGGATGTCAGCACAGCCCTCCGGGGTGTCAGCCACCCCTCCCAGTTTGGTATCATCAGCAAATTTGCTGAGGATACACTCTGTCCCCTCGTCCAGGTCACTGATGAACATGCTGAACAAGACTGGACCAAGTATTGACCCCTGGGAGACACCACTAGTTACAGGCTTCCAACTTGAACCTGCTCCATTAATCATTACCCTTTGGGTCCTGTCACACAGCCAGTTCTCAATCCACCTCACTGCCCCCTCATCCAGCCCATACTGCCTCAGTTTCCCAATGAGGATGTTATGGAAGACAGTGTCAAAAGCCTTGCTGAAGTCAAGGTAGATTACATCTCTGATAAAGGCTTTTATTCATCTGAAGAAATTCCAGGCAAGCTCAGCATTTGCTCAAAATTGCTATTGTTTAATTAGTTGAAAGTGTCTTACACACCAGCTTTATTAGGACTGGTCTGAGTCTACTGATCAGGAAGTAGTCTCTTAAGCTCTGTAGCGCAGTAACTGTTGTGGGGATTTTGCAGGGAAGTCACAACAATTATTTCTAAATCACTGATGGTGCCTAATTTATTTACTTTCATGCATGCAAAATTCCAGGGTTTCGTATAAAGCATATATGCCACATGCTTAAACCCTATGGACACGTTGGAGGATTTTGCAGTTGGGAATATCGAGGAATATTCCAAAGGCTTGGAAAACTCCCTGCTTTTGGTATATTTTGGGGTGTTTTTGTGGTGGATTTGGAGGAGCTGAAAGGCAAAGTGGAGAAATAAAAAGAGAATTTTCTTTGAAGACCTCCCACCCCAAGGAGCCACACAATGGTTGCTCCAGGCTGCGTTTTGACACTGTCCCCCAGGAAATCCTGGTCCCAAAATTGGAAAATCATGGATTTGATGGATGGATGAGGAACTGGCTGAATAGTGGCACTCAAAGAGTTGTGGTCAATGGCTCCCATGGTCAAGGGGACACCAGTGACAAGTGGCATTCCTCAAGTGTAGATACTGGGATCAGTGCTGGTCAACGTGATTGTTGGAGACATGGACATTGGGATTTGAGGGCACGTTCAGGGATTTTGTTGCTGGTGGGACTATGTGAACCTCATGAAGTTAAACCAGGCTAAGTACAAGGTCCTGCACATGAGTCTGCCCAAATGCAGACTGGGAGGAGAATGGCTGGAGAAGAGTCCTGAAGAGAAGGACTTGAGGGTGTTGGTGGATGGGGATTCTGCTCTGCTCTGCAGAGACCCATCCCCCCAGTGCTGCCTCCAGCTCTGGGGCCACCAACAGCAGAAGGACATGGGACCTGTTGGAGCAGGGCCAGAGGAGGCCATGGAGATGTTCTGAGGCTGGAGCCCCTCTGCTGTGAGGACAGGCTGAGAGAGCTGGGGTTGTTCAGCCTGGAGAAGAGAAGGCTCCAGGGAGACCTTCAAGCCCCTTCCAGTCCCTAAAAGGGCTCCAGGAAATCTGGGGAGGGACTGTTGATCAGGGAGGGGAGCCATAGGATGACGAGGAAGGGTTTTAAGCTGAAAAAGGGGAGATTTAGATGAGATATTGGGAAGAAATGAGGGTGGTGAGACCCTGGCCCAGGTTGTCCAGAGAAGCTGTGTCTGCCCCATCCCTGGAGGGGTTCAAGGCCAGGTTGGACAGGGATTGGAGCAATCTGATCTGGTAGGAGGTGTCCTTCCCTGCCCAGGGAAGGGGGGTTGGAACTCGATGAGTTTTAAGGTCCCTTCCAACCCAAACCATTCTATGATTCTATGGATAAAGACGGTTTAAGACATCAGTCACAGTAGAGGAAAATAACATTATTAATTGTAAATAAATATACAAAATAAAGGAATACAACACCTGTTACCTTCAGCACCTGAGGACTGATTGCCCAGCTCATCCCCAGCAGCAATGGAGGTTCCCAGCCCACCGAAGGGGGACCCTTTTCTATCCCAAGAAGGACGTCTGTGGAGTGGAATATCCCTTTGGCTACCTCATCCTGGCCATGCTCCCTCTCAGTTGCGAGGGGAAGCTGGAAAAGCCTTTAACTGATGTGAACATTTCTCAGCCACATATATAATCATGTGTGACCAACAGTATTCCCACACTAAATCCTAATCGGAGCCGATACTAGAAAGAAAATTAACTCCATCAAAGCTGAAACGAGAACACACATACACCCTCCCCAGGTCAGAGCTTCCCAGCACTGGGGAGGCCCCTGTCCCTTGCCCCTCACTCCCCCTCTTCTCCCTCGGCTGGGGCAGGGCAGGGAGGGACATCTCCTGCAGGATCCAGGAGAGAAGAGTGGGGAGTCTCTGGAGAAGAGCAGACTCTGCTGGAGGCTCTGGTGGGGATGGAAGAAAAAAGACCTGCAGCCCCCAGTCCCCGGTCCAGGGCCACCCCTGGTCCCTGAAGCAGCATCTGTAGTAACAGGA